GGATGAAATCTTCTACATAAGATTCTGCTACTGCGTTAGAACGCCACCCACCATGCCGCTTTAAAGTCAATATATCAGCTCCCGAATCAGCAAGTAATGTAGTTGACGTTCTTCTGAAACTGTGCCCTGTATAACAATCAGCATCCGGCAATCCTAAAAACTTTTCTTCATTATTGAAAGTTGTCATTTTTAGATATGTACAAGTACAAAGAAAGAAAATTTGAGAAAAATGGCGCGAAGGTTATTTTCTGCAATTTCATAATTTAACCCCTATTAATAAACTAAAAAAAAAATAATATCATAAAACGCAAGAGTAACAGTGAAGCTTTTGAAATTATAAATAGTTGTAAATAATTAGTTAAGAATAAAACAATATTAGTTTTAATTAAAATAGCATAATATAACTACAGATTTTTTTAAATCTGTAAACTCACGCAATTTGGCTGGCGGTAAACGCGGTACGGAGCAGGATATGACGCTTCGGCAGTATTTCTAGTCTAGCTTCAAACTTAATTCCACGCTCATTATAAAACTTAGAACGGTCGTTTTATGTGAAAGAAAAATGAAACATATCGAAATTTACTAACTTGTTGAAAGTCAAGAAAAAAATTAATCGCATTTTATGCAAATAAAATGCTCATCAAATAAAATATCCAATACAGTAATTAATTTCATTTTTGGGAGTGGCGACTCTTGAATTAATGAATACTTTATTGTACACCACAAAGAAAAACATGAATTGTATGCATATGTATTTAAAGTACAAATGGCGGCCTTATTGCTAAAAAGCAATTTCTTCCAGGCAAGACTTGCTCAGAACTGGTATAAATAAGTGAAGGTAAATAAAGTAAATTAATTAATTTGTGTGTGCAACATTGGCTCGTATGAAGTGTTTGAGGATCTGTGATGTGATGAATATGATATTAATACGGGTCTAATAGATAACTTTATTTTATGAAGACTATTAAAGAACCTTGTTTTTGTTTGTCCCGATTTACAACCCTAAACCCCGATTTATTTTATCTTATGTCCCGATTTAAAACAAATTTTACCTGGCAACACTAGCCATGACCCTTCACGCTGGCCCAATACGGATTAGAGGGTATTAACGACTGCAAATGCAACCGAAACCAACGGCTTAACGTGCCTTCCGAAGCACGGAGTAGCTTGACATAATAATTTTTTGGTCACCCATCCCGTGACCGACCCTTGCGAAAGTTGCTTAACAACTACAATCGCGGGCCGTGGCGCTTATCTACTACGCCACCGAGCTACTCTATATGCTATATATGTTAGAGGTATCTACATCAGCTATATTCTCATCATTCTAATCAAAAATTTAATAACCCCTCAAGTTGATTATTTATTATAACTGAGCGATCGTGCCTTAAGTTACAAATAATATGTATAATGAAAATATGTAACGAGTAATTAGATATAAATAGCGTTACTATAGCTTAAATATTCATACCCAACATTGGTCCGGTGGTTGATTGATTTTATAAGTATTACGTACATTCACGAATAAGTCCGTAGTATTTCCTACTGATGGTAGCAAAAAGTGTTTCAATAACTTACCATTGGTAGGTAAAGCTACCGATGGTGTGCTACTAATGGATTGACCTGGTACTGATAAGCTTTCGTAGGCAAAATGTATGAAAAGGGCTCAAAAAGGTGTTTCAATAAAAAAATCTATCCATCGGTAGAGCTGTCAAACTTACTATACGTAGCTTATCTGTCTAATTTGCGTACCGGCCATTTTCCGTGGATTATCGTAAGAATATTTATATATGACACGTACGTACGTACATTCACGAATAAGTCAACAATATACTTCAAGTTACGTCTATTATTTAGCTAGCCTATTGATCACATATTACTTTAATTCTAACTCAGTTTTCATTATATTCTGACACTTGCGATCGCTTTTGGATGAAATAATCTGCTTCTGTTAATCCTCAGTTAAGTTTCGATGGGCGCATATCACCGAAGCTAACTACTGCCCGATGTCACTTAAGAATATTGAACATTAGATGTAACTTCTAATTCTAGTGGCGATCTTGTAGATGAAGCCTCGACAGATCTGCCAAACGGCGGGGTGTTAATATACTAAGCCGGCGCCCTTTAGCCAGAATCTGAGGCACGGTATCTTCAGGGTAGTAGGTACCAACACGACAATAAATGTAGCATTCAAGTTTGGTTGTTGATTTTGATTTGCCGTCTTTCAGGCTGCCCAATGACTCGAACCCTGTAATCCACATCAAATCATCGAAATTTCTTCGGTCTGCCGATGAACCATGAAGTCCTTTGGTATATCCCGCACCACCTGTTGAACCCATTCGAAAGTTGTGGTGTTGGTGCACACAAGCTGAAGGCGCCCGTCCGAATAAAAGGGTTTCCCACTGAAGCAGAGTTCATAACTGCGAGCCACCCTAAGGATCGCTTTCTCGATTTCTGTCTTGATCTCTTCCGCCGTCTCTCTTGAAATGAAACCGGTATTCGAGGTAATACATAACTTTGTCATCTGGATAAATAACTTACGAGTATACTACCGAGTATTAGACGCGATTTTTAGACTGACCTGCGCCGAAATAAGTATTTGAAATGCAGCGCGATAGTTTAAAAGTGGATAAATAACACCGTGACATTTGTATTACGCACATGCCGGAGACGCAGTCAATAATTTTTTTAAACAACCCCCCCACCGTGCAGTAAGTTTGGAAGAAGATTCACCTCTATTTGACATTTCTAAATTCCTGCCTGGACTCGACACGGCCCTCTCTTGGGTTAGTTTGTGCGATAACGATGATGTCTAACTTCTATTCTTATATAGGGACGGAATATCTCTGTTGACGGCTGCAAATGCCAGTCGATGTTCTTTCCGAAACTGCCTTATCTTCTTTATTCTGTTGTAGATGCTTCCCCTTCTGGCTTTTTTGCGCTTTTTGTTTTCCGGTCTGGTTTCTCTTCATCGGTCTTGTGACGGGTTCGTTGCTTGGGCAAATGAATAAAAGGCTGACTAAGTTTGAGAACTTAATTTATTAAAGGGTAAACAAAAAACCCTTTTCTTCGGGTTTGGCGAATGATTTAACCTCATTATATTTTTATCTAATATTATATACATTTTTCTTGTATTGAAACTCGTGAACATAATGGAAACAGGAAATATTAAATAGATTTTACCACTTTTTACATAAAAAATTGCTACTGATTTAAATTAAGTTAATAATGTTTCTAACTTTCACGAATTTTCACAATTTCAAATAAATTTTCACGAGCTGACATTCATAAAGAATTCATTAATAATACAATCATTAACTAATTCCTAACCTAGAACATTACGTCATAACAATGCGATAGAAATCGTTATGTAAATATCTGCCCTAAAAAATAAGCTCGAAATTTCTATACTATCACGTGACCTGTAGTATTGAATCATGTAGGAAGTTTAGTTCAGTTCATATCTAGAATAGAATAGAATAGATTTTACGTATATAACGGCTTTATCTATATATCTCAAAAACTTAAAACTGTGCTTCGGTATATAATTGTATCTGTAGAGATAGAAACTATATTACGGCTTTATCTATATTACTGCCGCATTAAAAAATCCAAAAGTAGTCCATTCGTTTCCGTATTCCATTGCTTGGTCACCCTAATTTCCGTTACTTATTGTTATGGAAATTAGGGTGACCAAGCAATGGAATTTTTAAAGCAATAGTATTTTTATAGTATAATAAAAATACAACATGTATCACAAAAATAATGAGTCATCAGATTAGAGGGTAAGAGAGACTAATGTAACAGTTTTACGACATGATCGCTAATGCTTGTCCAAGTCATGAAGCAGTCATACGATCAGCGATCCATATTGTTAAGCGTAGATTTCATTAATCTGGCCAGGTTACATCATTATGTGGACAGCAAGATTTTCCCGTACATGAAATACGACCATTTTAAATGTGTGATTACTTTGGACTGCCGATTAGTCAGGGTCCGGATTACCGCGGGTCCAATATAGGCTACCAATACATTTGACATAGCAACACGTAAATAATTGTTACATCTAAATTATTTTGAGCAAATGATCACTCGTATAAAACTGAAGCCCCCATAGCCAAATTATTTTAAAAAACCTGTATTTAATTTATTTCCTATTTAAACAAAATTGTTACCATTTTGAGAATTTTACAGTTGGCTATGTACGTGAACTTCATCATTTTCTTATCATAATTTAACAAAATAAATAAACATAAACTTAATGAAATACTAAGTGCAAATTTATAAAATTATAATTACAAAATAAGTACGTTTTACGTAGACATTCATACTAAATTGTGTGACATTCTTACAAGTTTAAACACGCAACACAGCTTGCACAGTATCTTGATAATTTCAAATAAGAACTTTTTTCAATTGTTGGAGACTATTGGCCGGTTTCTGAATTGAGAAAAGTACAAAATCTCAACTGATTATTCTCAATAAATTAAGTTTTTTACGTTTCATAAGGCAATAAAGAACTAGATTTATCAAATTGCTAACAAATGATAATTTAAAAAAAAATAAATCAGTAATGAAAACATGTTTAAATGACATTTAAAATGACTTAAGCACGGTTTGAGACGTGCTCAACTTCAAATTCTCAATTCAGAAACCGGGTGTGAATCGACTACTTTGGGAATCACTGCCTGCTGAGTATTTTAATTTTACTATCAAAACATATTATTTATAATTATACGTTATGCGACATCAATAAATGTCATAATTTATCTGCTTGTGTTTCCTTAAAAGTCATGGCTCTCGATGATCCTGCAAAAAAACAGTTTAATAGATAGATAATTCATTTATTTGCATTAATCTAGTAATACTGGATGTAGGGTCATATATTTCTTGAACTTTTCGGATCTTTAACGAGATACGATTCGCATAGGTACTTTATTCAAAAACAGAAAAAAATAAATTAAATTTATATTTTACTCAAGTAGAATATAAAATAAAATTTAGACTCGTAATGGTTGAAATACAATTTTTATAGCCTTTTTTTCTATGATAATTACAACATAAGGAATAAAAAATTAATCAAATATAGAGCTCATAACAGACAGTGAAGATACTATAATATTATATCTTAAGATAAAATATCACTTGCCATACAATACAATAATCCAACACACACAGCTAAGATAATGTAATATTTTCATATTAAAGATATTAAAATGCCAAGCGATATGAAATTATATTTCGTAGGTTAAGAACTATCTTAAGCTACGAAATATATATTTCCGTATTGCTTTGTAGTTTGTAAATATATATCCTAAGATACGGAAACTTATATTAAAAATGTAAAGGATTTCAAAATATTATCATATCTTAATCGTGTGTGATAGCTTAAGATGTCAAAATATGTTATCTTACGATAAAATCTTATATTCACAGTCTGTAAAGAGCTTAAGAAACATTCGATTCGTCAAAAAGAGCTCACCAGATGAGGTATAGTCCCTGTTTATGAGTATGACGTCGTGATCGGTGCCGGGCGCGTGGTGGGCGCGGTGCAGGGCGCGCGTGGGCGCACAGCACAGTCGCGGTGCTGCGTGCGCGGGGTCGCGATACAGCAGCGCACTCCCGCGCACACCCACCACTAGCACGTAGTGACCTCGGTACCCCCTGTTGAAACGTAGCCACCGTCTGTTCACATACACGACACTAATATACTCTCACAACCGCGAATAGATAGCTAAATTAAAATCCGGACCCCAGTTCGGATAATTGTGAAAATTTTATTTGGAACTAGCTGACCCGACAGACTTCGTCCTGTCAAAAAGCCTACATTGCTTAGACAACAGTGAGTGCTTGTAATTTAATATGAACTTTATACCATAGCAATAAAGCTCAAATTGACTACGTTTTAGTTACAAATCATTTGTATGGGAAAAAGAAAAGGGCTATTTTTAGGGTTTTTCCAGCAATAATTCTAATTTTTCTCGCCGTAAAAACCATCCTTGAACTTCAACGAACATTTTAAAAAAAGATTTGGCCAAATTGGTCGAGGCGTTGTTGAGTTATGCGCTTACCAACACATTTTGCGATTCATTTTTATATATAAGATAAACAAAAAATATGCTTCACGACTTTATGCCGCACCGCTTTTGTAGATCCCTATGGCATACTTATTTACATAAAATAAAATATACATATAGACATTGTATGTAGACTTATTAAACAATATTTGACGGTATTGGATTCAATTATCATAGGATGCGGTCAACGGCCCGCTTGTTACGAAACACAGTTCTTAACATTCACGTGATTAATTGATGTGTACTTTAATTACTAAGCGATACCATATTCTTTACGGAAATTGAAGCTTTTGAAATAGGTATAATCTAAACTTCCTATATGATTTACTACTACGTCACGTGATATGTTATCTTAATTTATAAAAAAAAATTACCATTTTGACAATCTTATTTTCTTTAATGTAAAATATTCTGATTTTATATCTAATCTAAACTCCACCAACGCGACGACTAACGACCCATATAGATATTTAAAAAATCTTGCAAATTTTACTACGCTCTTTAGCTTTCTTGGACCTCGGGGGCGTAATTCCCCAATTGAGAAACACTGTTCTAAAGATATTGTTCACCTGAGTTCAGCGGTGAGCTGGTCACGCCCGCACCAGTGGCACACAAGTCGTGCGGCATCGAGTAGCAACAGCGCGGGTCCGCGCGTGAGCACGTGCCGCGCCACCTCGCGCACGGGCAGTGCGCCACGCACCACCCTTACTCCCGAGCTCAGAGCAGAACGGAAACGACCACGCACGCGCTCCCGATCCTACATCACAGCGAAGGTCAATAACCCATAATCAAATACAAAATCAATTATTCAGGCTAGGCTGTTACGGGCATATGTGAAAGTCGAAACTCTACGCCATCACTTTGAAAATCTACGGCGGAAGATTGTGTAGAAGTACCAGCAAGAAATTGTCGAATAGAAAAATTACCAGGCCATAAGCCTAAGACGCGACGAAATGAATATATCGCACGTTGAGAATGACAATGTCACTAAGCAAAAACGACGTATTTTTTACTTTTGGCAACATTTTTCTTTGTTAAATATAAACTTTAAAATGCAAAGATCCCTGTGAACGTAGCTTGTATAGAAACTGCTAGGTGGCATAGTGACGATACGTTGTTTAGAGGAGCTGATTACAATTTCTTGAACTTTAAACACTCATTACTCAAAATCGCATTTTTTGCATTGTGTCACTGTCATTCTCAACGTGCGATATATTCATTACGTTTCAATATACATTATACTAGCTGTGTGTGTCATCTGCGTGGAATAGTGACTTTCGGCAGCATCTTTAAATTTTAAGGTTCCGTTCCCAAATGGTAAAACGACAACCATATTACTAAGACTTCACTGTCTGTCTGTCTGTCACCAGGCTGTGTCTTACAAACTGTAAAAATTAGACAATTGATTTTTTCACATATGATGCATTTCTATAGCCGCTTCAACAATATAATAAATACATTTACTCTATTTTCAGCCAGCTACACTAACGTCCATTAAAATTGTCATTAGTTTAAAGCGACATTACCCATACAAATTTGACATTCATTAGAGCTTAAAGGCGTCATTAAACGTTACTAGACTTTTATGCAACTGACCGTATTACTCGTAAGTTTGTAAAGCCAACTTAAATGTGATAGTTTTCCTGTCAAATTCTTTATATACACTACTGCGGTATCGTTGAGTTTCTAACAACAACCATTTAGTTGGTAGTTTACTATAAAATTCAGATCTCCCCACACCCCTAATATTATTGGAAGACCTATCCAACGATACCCCACGCAATGCGAACATAAAAATTTTTTCAACCTCAACTTTACATGCAGGGAAGGAAGAATAATTTATTTTTTACTATTTTTCGGTGTGACTAATTTTATGGCGTGATTACTAATACAAATTGTTTTTGAGCTTAACCGCAGACCGACGGACAGACAGACACACATGACGAATCTATAAGGGTTCCTTGTTGACAATGTAACTGCAAAATTAAAAAGAAAAAAAATTGTTCGGCAAAAATCGGAAAACCAATAAAGACGAAAAAAACATTAACGAAATCAAAACCACGTTTTAATAATACCATAACGTCTTCTAGCGAGTTTATTTAAAAAAATCGCAAAATTGTAAACGAAAGCTACGTTATTGTATAAAAATCTGAATGTAAGATTACAAACATAACAAAAATCAAAATCCCGTTTTAATAGTAGTGTCATCTAGTGATCAGTAGCTAAATGTGACATTTTCGTGTAATTAACAAATATAACATATATGCATTTAGCGATAACAAATGTATCGATTTTAATAAATTAAAACATTATTTAATCCTGCGTGAAGACCGTAAATCATTTAATAATGGATTTCGAAAAGGATGACATGGAATATAATCACAAATGACAAATTAAATAGTAAACAATGGTTTCTTTGGTAATGATTTAATGCACTATATGACTACTATACGAACTTACACTCCCATTTTGATCCCTTATACTGATACGATATAAGATAGACATATACTGCCGCAAGGAAAGCTTTAAAAAAGTAAATAATTTTAACATACATATTGCTTTTTGGAACTCATGTTTTCTGTATTCGTAGCAAATTTAAGGAACATATCGCCCACAAATAAGGACTTCTACTGTACTATATTTTAGTGCGTGTGTGATGTCTAGTAATTAATTCTAGGAAAAAGTGCCCTGAAATAAAGTAAGAGTTACATACTTTACTTCACGATAGAAAACTTATTTTGTTACAAGAAAAAAAATGCAACAAATTGCATTTATGGAGTAGAATTTTAGCATTAATTTCTTAATAATTTAATGTTAATTTGTAATGAAAATGTGTAATTTATAATAAACATAAAAATAAGTTTTTTGGAATGTGCATTAGTTCTGCAGACTGATAATTCTCATCTAAGGAGATCCATCATTGTTGACAGTGAATTTTTTTGCCTTAGAAAATGCTCTCATTAGCTAAGGCGAAAAAATTCATTTAAACACAAATTGCAGTTTTTAACTAATTATTTTCCCAAACAGTCCCTCTGATATAATATGAAAGAGTTATATCAGTTATTTACTGATAGGTATAATATATTACCACTCACCAAATCCGAAATTCTATCATAATAGCTGTGTTTTTTGTAGTCTTCATTGACACCAAGCATTGTGGTGTACATAGTGTGTTCGATGCCAAATCTGGACACAAAATGTTAATCTTGTTTGTGACATACTGAGCATGCTTCGAATACTAACATAACAGTCATATTACCTCTTCAACAAGTAGCATAGGTCAATAGTCCATGTTGACTGGTTGAAACCTTCCTCTTGGCATATGGCGCTAAAGTTCTGCAGGAAGTAGAGACGCTGTTCTTGTTCCAATAACATCATCACGCAGGCCACCCCGCAGTCCCAGCTGAACCGCTGCTGATAGTGTACCAATTTGTGAAGCACCAGATTTTGGCTATATTCATCTGGAAATGTTTTATTTCAGTCTATAATTACATTTGCATAATAATATGTTTGTTTTAAATATTACATTGAAGAGCAGACAGCACGAATTCTTATCCATTTAATAATTTTTTTTTTATATATTCAATCAATTCTACATTCACAATGCTATATAAAAAAATAACTTAATGAAAAATGCTTAAAAATTACACTTTGTCCGTAGCACTCTAAGATGGGACTCGACCTTAACCTTTCGCAATCCGGGTGACTGCTCTAACCTGCCAGGAAGATGACGTCCTGCTGTAGTAGAGCTAACCTACTACAAACCAACCTCCACCACAGTATCACCGCAACGGCTCAGTTCCGGAAATGGTTGGAGGTTAACACAACAGCAATCGCGCTGATTCAGGAGCCGTGGATCAATGGTGGCGAAATACGAGGACTCTCCAATTTGGGAGGTAAGCTCATACAAGCCAATGTTAACGACGTGAGAGCCTGTATACACTTCAAAAGATATCAAAACACAGCCTTTAACAAATTTCTGTTCCAGAGTTCTCTGTGCCACAAGGCTGACCATGAAACATGATAACCATAACTGCGATATGATCCTAGCATCTGCGTACATGCACGAAAGAGAGCGAGCACCACCGGAGGAGGTCGCCTCCCTGGTCCGCTTCTGCGCGCACGAGAACGTGGAACTAATCATCGCAACAGACTCCAACGCTCATCACCCCCTGTGGGGGATGGAGAAAAACAACATCAGAGGTAACCAACTAGTGGAATTCCTTCTGACCACTAACTTACTAATAATAAATAGAGGAAGCAAACCCACCTATGTGAGCAAGAACGGTAGCTCAATCATAGACTTGACTCTCGCAACACCAGAGATGGCAAACGCGATATCGGACTTGCATGTATCGAAGGAGGCATCATGCTCTGATCATCGATGGATTCATTTTAACCTACCGGTACCAATCACAAACCCCGTCCTCAAGAGGTACCCCAAGAAGACTAACAAAAATCTCTACAGCCGTCTAGTGTCAAATAAACTGTGCATGAGCTACGAAAATGATAGAATTGACACCACAGACCAAATAGAACAACAGGTAAATATGGTTTCCGAATGCCTCCTAGAATGCTATGAAGAAGCCTGCCCTCCCAAACTTCTGAAATCATACGGGCCGGGTAAACACCATTGGTGGGGTCCTGAACTGGAGAGAATAAGAAGCAAGGTGAGGAAGAAGTTTAACCGAGCCATGAACACCCGAAGCGAAACTGACTGGGACGACTACAAAACTATCAAAGCTAAGTACAAAAAACGAATTAGATACTGGAAAACAGCCTCCTGGCGTAGTTTCACTGCGGAGATAAATTACACTCAACAGGCAAATCGGGTAAGGAAAATCTTGGCCAAGCAGGGACCGGGCGCTTTAGGGAATCTTCGGAGACCCGACGGCACGATGACCCAGAACCAGAACGAGACCAACCACATCCAGGTAGTAGTCCAGGTAATTGAACAGGTAATATGGCGTCACACTACGCCAACACTGACGGAAGGATGCTGGCGCCTGGCCAATGAAATCGTAACGTCTGTGAAGGTGAGATGGGCAATTGAATGGTTGATGGGCAATGAGAAGGAAGTGATGGCATCTTCCCACCGCTACTACAATGGGGGGGCGAAGACATAGTCTTAGCACTCACTCGTATACTACAGGCGTGTCTAGCTGAGAGGTAAAGGTAGTATTCATACCCAAACCGGGGAAATCCGACTATACTTACCCTTTTCGCCCCATCAATCTAACATCTTTCCTACTCAAGACTCTAGAAAGACTACGCGACTGACATATTCGGAGCGGTGCACTGCTCCGATACATAAACATCAACATGCTTACACAACGGGCAAATCTACAGAATCGGCCCTCCATCAACTAGTCGGTAAGATAGAAATGGCCTTTCATAATAAACTCATCTGTCTGGGCACTTTCATTGACATTGACATCGTATGGTGGCCAACGATGGCACTCACTCTCAGTCACTCAGTCTCAGTCAGTCTATATGTGAAAACAAACTACAAGGCTTCCAGCGGCAGGCATGCTGCGCCCTAACAGGATGCATGAGCACGACTCCGACGGCAGCTTTGGAGGTAATGTTAAATATTATACTGCTACACATCTACATTAGACAGGAAGCGACAAAGACAGCATTGAGACTAAAAAACTACAAACTGGTAAGGTTCGAGACCACCAAACATCTCAATGGCTTACTGAAGAAATGGCTCAACACCCTACTTGTAGAAGCGGCGTGTGACAGAATTGAACCCGCCTTCATTTTCGATAAGAAATACAAAATACATCTTATGGACACTGACAATCCAAAGGTAACTCACAAGGCCCTCACGGTCTTCACGGATGGCTCCAAAACCGCATCAGGAGCAGGAGCCGGAGTATTCTCCGAGGACCTCAACATACACCTCTTCCTGCCTCTCAGCTCATACAATACAGTCTTTCAGGCTGAGTGTATGGCGATTACCATGGCGGCGAGAGCGATAGCAATAAGGTAAAAGGATCAAAAATCCGGCTCTACTCGGACAGCAAATCCGTTTTACAAGCTCTCAAAGGCAGCTCTGTCAGATCTAGTCTTCTATATGAGTGTCACCAGGTTCTAAACATGGTAGGGTCACAGAACACATCACTGTCCAATGGATAAAAGAACACAGTGGATCACGTGGGAACAATGCAGCTGATGAACTGGCACGCAGGGGATCAGACGCAACACCAATGGGCCCCGAGCCGATAATCCCTATCCCCATAAACTGGTTAATTGGTAAGATACGAGACCACTCAGGTAAACTACACCAACAATACTGGCACACCTTGGAGACCTGTAGGCAGGCAAAGCACCTCGGCTTGCCGGGTAACCTCCAGGAGGCCGTCGAAACGTGAAGGCGCTAGGAGCGTTTCTGGCAGAGCTAGGTTGGCTAGAGTAGTATCCGGCCACACACCCTCCATATGCAAAACAGGCGCAATCTTGACGTCGAGTTGCGGAGACGCCCGTTGAAAGATGAAGAAGAAGAGTGCTCTAACCACTGAGCTACCCAGGACCTAACAGGACTGTCAAATTTTTCAAGCACTTGTTACTTTTTTGCTTCTACAGAGCATACTTTCACCAATATTTAAGCAATCCACCCAAACAACCAAAAGAAATATTTTGATGTGTTTGTCACATATCGCACACCCGGTGCGACACTGTCACTTTTGCAAAAAATACAAAAATTAGTTAAATATGTAATAATTGTCCTAAAGCACCCCTTTACTTGGTGCGATAATGTTACTTTTGTAGTATGCATAGTTCCATATGATTCATCTCATCTGTATCTTCTAAAGTCATTGTTTTGTGAGGTGGCAGAAAAACTAAATTTTTGCATAAGTGACAGTGTCGCACCGGGAGTGCGATATGTCATATTTTTTTGTAGTCGGTATATTTTTTTTTCTTTGTTTATGAATTATTTTACAAAAGTATAGTGCATTTAAAAAAGCCTTATTATAAATTGTGTAATGGTCTCCCATGTGAAGTCAGCAGAAATCAACAGCCACTTAAGTTTATTTTTTGTTGTGACAGCTGTAATGGTTACACATGACCATAATTTACTTGATTCCAATTTGATTTACCAAAAAAGTTACCTATATTAGAAGTTTTTGAAATCGAATCAGACTTTAATCAAACTACTTTCAGAATGTGATTTAATTATGTATAATAATTAGAACAAATTTTCAACTTTATTGAAAGTTTAAATATTTTAAATAATTCCTTCGGCTTTTTTGATTGTATTGGCTGAATATTTTATTATTGTGATAATACATATTATTTTGGTAATGAAATGATTTTGTAAATGTCATTACTTATGATAAAGAGCTGATAAGTGTCTTTCACTTGTTCTTCTTGTGAGCTAAAAGTCGACCTGAACAAGTGGTAGTGGAAAAAAATTTTTTACGGACAGAGTAGAAATAGGTATACTAAATTAAATTATATTGGACTGGTATCACAAAATTTGACATACTATTAGAAACAATTGATTATGATCTTACCTTTGCCATCTTCACTAGTCATATTTATTTAATTGTTGCTTTTGTTCAAGATTTCGGACACGATATTGTTTTTAGAGGTTAGTTTCTACATCGTAGAACAATGACGTTTTATTAAAAACATAAAGGCTTTTTAATACATCATTGTTATAGAACAACGGTTTTGTAGATTTGCTGAATTTCATTTTCCAATGAAATTACTCGTGACTACTCGTGACCCACAATTTGTTGAAATAACGATTGTTGATAAACACGGTACGCAGATACAAATATACTCTTTGGTACATAGTCAACAATAAATCGTTTTCCAATGATTTTTCAGTATAATAGCGATGGACGTTATTCGCGATAGACAGTTATTCAACTAGTGATTGTCTGAACCGCGATCACTAGTGATTCAGTGATACAATAACTATCTATTTCCCTCAACGATTTATAGTAAAGCTGAATTCACTCTTAAAAGAAATTATTTAAGGTTGATGTTTGGCGACTCGCTTTACAGTTCGCAGCGATACGTAGACATCTTTAAGAGATCTACGCTTTGACAGTCATGTAATGCAATTTTAATATTAACCGTATAGAATGTGACGAGTAATGTAGAGCAATGAAATAATATGGATCACAAACAATGCTACCTGTCAATAGTGAATGAAACAACAGCAAAATGTCAATATACGTGTGAATGAAATGGGTGTATGTTTATACATTTCGCGTAGTTCGGCTTTCGGAGTGATCAAGTTACTAACCCAAAATTGAGCTTTATCGCGTTTGTATAGAGTAAAATCCGCTTTGACATCATAACTTTGTGGAAATAACTAGCTATCAAAAATAGACAGTTTTGGATCGGATTGGTGATCCAGTAGTCGTTGCGTTACGTGATTTATAAAACAGATAACGACCCATCGCTCTTTGCTCAGTGTTGCCAACTCGATACGTAATTTAAGTGCGTAGAAGATGTAGTACGAACCTTTCGGAATAGAGATGGAATCAGCTGTTTCTTATTTCCCAGTTTAAAAATTGTTATTATTAATTTACATTCGTACTTACGGTTTCCTTTAGTATTATACATAACTTGCATCCCAAGTGAACGTTTGCAGTGCTGTGTTTTCCATTATATTGACGTATCTGGTGTTTTAAATGCATCACGGAATCTAAATAACAGGGTATATTACTAATACCTATGTTTGCAATTAACTGACAGTTTGGTTGTGTTGAAGTGCCTGCGACTTGCTGCTATCATTGGTGCGTTCGGAAACGGCATACGTGAATTTAGCTGTGGTTGAAACCTGCTTGTAAGTTTGGTTGCGTTCCGAATCTACATACTAAAATTAGATAATCATGCAAAAGTGTGGGGGTTGTGGTAAATTCATCTCTGCATCTGCGGCCGCTAAATGCAATTGCTGTCCGAATGTCTTCCACCGGGTTTGTGTAGCTATTCCGGACGGAGTTAAAATTAGTACCACGTGGGAATGTCCCGATTGTGTAGTCAAAAGGCCTAAGACTGATAATTCCGCCACGCCGGTTAAGAGTGTCGAGGATGGCTATCGGCCTACGGATGCCGCACCTTCGGGGTATGTTGACATTGATCATGTGCAGGATTATAGTTTCACCGGTGAGTCCCTAAACAATACTGCTCTAGATCAGACGCAGCCCTTTCGGGTGGAACTGAGCTTGGAGCTGCGCCTCTTCAGAGAGGAGATGCGTCAGGTCAGGGAAGAGTTCGCTGAGTTCCGGCGTGAGCTTGCCGGGGTCTACTCTGCCTTGGGTCGTCTTGATGAGCTCGAAAACAGGCTGCTGGCACTCGAACAACACCATGATAAACATGAGGCAAGGATATCTGCTTTGGAGAAATCACGTGAGCTGGAGATACCGGAAAATATGATTACTAGTCTGCAGCGTACTGTCGCCGAACTCAAACAGGAGCTAAGCACTCGCGAACAGGAGGCTCTTGTGGCTGACCTTGAAATCTCCAATGTACCCGAAGTTCGCGGAGAAAATACTATCCACACTGTGTGCGTATTGGCAAAAAGAATCGGTGTGGAGCTCGATGAGAGGGACATCGTGTTCGCGGAGAGGGTTGGGGTGGGGGGCGGTAGAGTTGAGGATGGAACCGAAGAGCTTCGACCTAGGCGTATCGTGATGCGCCTTACTCGTCGCCACATGCGGGATGAACTTCTTCGTGCGGCTCGAGTGCGTCGTTCTGCAACCACCGAGGCACCAGGCTTGCTGACTCCCCCCCGCCGCTTCTATATCAATGAGCGTCTGACCTCTGCCAATAGAGAAATTTTCCGTCACGCCAGGGCTACTGCACGCAGTTTAGGCTGGAGATATGTTTGGACCAGAAGGGGGCGAGTTTATGTTAGACAGGCTGATGGGCGGCCCAGAATGTACCTTAGAAGTGTGGACGATATGGTTGGTGTTTTTGGTTTGGGTACGGTTAGTTCTGAACTTAGTAAATAATAAAATTTGTTATTTGTTCAACTATATATATTTAAATAATCATTATAATGCTTTATGTAGTAATAACTTCTTTTCAACATTAGTATTATTTTATTATTGTCCTTTTTTGTTAAATCGTATTATTAAGATAAGTTCACTGTCTTTCTTTGTGTATTGGTTGGTTGCTTACGTGGGATTTGCATCATCTGTGCCGATCTGTAAAGTATATTTGATGAACTCAATGTTTTCGTTGCGCGGAACGTCCTTAGTGTCATATTTACAGTTATACTTAAATTATTCTTTTGAACTACAATATTATTTTCTTAAAACTAACATCTGTTACTTCAACGTTTTTGAACTACAAAATTATTTTTCACATTTACACACTTCATCTTATACAAATTTTTATCAGCTCGCATTTCGTTGTAAAGGCTACTTACATTTGAAATCTCATTATTTAAACACATGTATCGTTGTAGTTATTATTATATATATATATATATATATATATACACTTGCTTATTTTTCTACTCAGTATCTATACTTCTGATATCATAAATGCGACCTAACAAGTACTTAAATGTTGGCCTTTTCAATGCCGGTTCTCTAGGCTCAAAACATGACGAATTTGTTGCAGCCATGGATAGGATATCGGTTGACATAATGGCCATAAATGAGACCTGGTTGAGGGATGGGGAGGATGGTCGCGCTCCCTCAGTACCCGGCTACCGTCTGCGGCACCTCCCACGACCTGTTAGCGTTCGCAGTGGTCGTGGCGGGGGGGTAGGTTTCTATATTAAAAAGGGAATTTATGTGCGTACCTGCCCTATATCTGACACCCATAGTGTTGAGCAGATGTGGCTAAGTCTGAAGTCGAATTCTCTCCGGATTGCCATCGGCACTGCCTACAGACCTCCATGGATGGATCTAAATGTGTTTATTGATGCTCTCTCTCAGTCCATGTGCGGTTTTGCGCACCATGATCATTTCATTCTGTTGGGTGATTTTAATGTGGATATGTTAAATATTAATGCATATAATTATAAAATATTAACAAATTTCTTTGAATCCATGAATATCAAGCAACTAGTACAATCACCTACGCATTTTACCGATCATAGTGCAACCTTGATCGATTTGATTTGCAGTGATGCTAAAGTTAATAATTTGAGTGTCCATCATATACCTGACCTGGGAAAGCATGCAGTGATTATGGCTCAATTTTTTATTAAAAAAGAAAAACATCCTCCCTACAGTGTTTCTTTTAGACCATACAAGGACATCATTACCGAACAGTTTGATATAGATGTGAGCAGGATTGATTGGAGTCACATTGAAGAATTACCTGATCTCGATTCAATGGTCGTTGCTTTCAACTCATTTGTCTTACAGCTGTTTGACTTACATGCTCCTCTTAAAACTGTTCACATTAAGGCTAGAACATACCCTTGGATCACCGATACCGTGAAGCAAATGATGCGAATCCGTGATAACGCCTATGCTAGATGGAAGAAAACTAAATGTGAATCCCATAAAGTATTCTATAAAGAAATGAAGTCTCTTGTCACATCTGCTATCTACCAAGAAAAAAAATGTTATTTCGAACTATATATAAATAAAAACAAAAATAATCCTAAGTTACTGTGGAACAATTTAAAAAAACATATTGAAATTAAGAGGAACAATGACCTACCTAGTTCATTTTCGGACCCTGACATTATTAATTCTCATTTTTTGGACGTGCCTTGTACGTCGGATCCCAGCATCTCACAACTAACTTTCTTTGAGCATCACAGATTCGGAAACTCAGCTTTCACATTTGAATCTGTCACAGAGAGAACGGTAATGCCATTCAGTCTCTACACTCTTATGCCGTGGGCGTTGATGGGCTTTCTCTCCTAATGTTAAGGATGACTATTCCTCAATCCCTCAGAGCCATTACAGCCATTGTAAACAAATCTTTGTCTAGTTCTAATTTCTGTAATTTTTGGAAGGTGGCTCTAGTTAGACCTATAGCCAAAAAGGTAAACCCTGTCAATCTCGGTGATCTTCGACCTATCAGTCTCCTGTCTTGTCTTTCCAAGGTAGTCGAAAGGGTAGTCTACAACCAGGTTGTAAAATATCTGGAGGTGAATTCTGTGTTACCGTTACTCCAATCTGGATTTCGCAAAAAGCACAGTACTTCAACTGCGCTACTTAATGTGGTGGACGATGCACTAACAGCTCAAGACAAAGGCGAGGGTTCTCTTTTGGTTCTCCTCGACTTCTCTCGTGCCTTCGACTCATTGAGTCTTCCACTGTTGCTGTCGAAGCTGACATTCTATGGTTTTCTACCAGCTGCTGTTCGCTGGTTCCACAGTTATCTGATGTACCGGCTTCAGATTGTTGAGATTCGAAGGGATGATGGAAGGGTTCTCCGTTCCCAGTGCGGGACCCTCTCCAGAGGTATTCCTCAGGGATCCATATTGGGTCCTCTTCTGTTCATCCTTTACAGCGCTGATATCACTGAAAACATAAAGCACTGTCGATATCATCTCTATGCTGATGATGTCCAACTTTATCTTAATTTGAAGCCTTGTGACACTTTAAGCGCAATTGACAGGATTGAGAGGGATTTGGAGGGCATATCTACTTGGTCTAAGAATAATGGATTAGCTCTAAATGCTGCTAAGACTAAATATATGCTTCTAGGCTCTAATTGTCAGGTTTCCAAAATTAAACAATATAATGCCAGACTTACCATTGCTGATCAACCTATAGAAATGGTGTCAATGGCCAGAAACTTGGGAGTGATTTTTGAGCCAGATCTCCGCTTCGAAATGCATGTACTTGAGGCTGCACGTAATTGTTTTTATCGACTCAAGGTAATGTATAAATACCGTGACTTCCTGTCTGAAGAGATTCGGGTTAGATTATGTGATTCCCTAGTCCTTTCAAAGTTAAATTACGCTGATGTAGTGTATGGATCTTGTCTGCGAAAAAGAACGGAATGTCTTATTCAGAGACTACAAAATGCTTGTGCCCGTTTTTGTTTCGCTGTGCCGGCAAGAGCCCATATTACTCCTTTTTTAAATCAGTCAAATCTTTTGAAAATGGTTAATCGTAGAAAACTACACTTTGCTACTCTTCTTTTTGACATAATTAATACAAAAGTGCCTGAATACCTCTACAGAAAGATCAAATGGGCGAGAGACAACAACTCATATTGCACACGGGCCTCCTTATATATGATGCAGACCCCTACACATAGAACTACTGCTTTTCGGGGTTCTTTCAAGTATTCTGCTTCTCATTGTTGGAACAATTTGCCTCCTCCTATTCGAAAACTGAAAACAAGAAATTCTTTCAATAAAGCAGTTAAATTTTATATTATGTCGGCACAGCTGGCGTAGATGTTTCGTGAGTAAAAAAACTGAAAGATATACTTACCACGTTATTGGTATGAGAGGGTCTGCCTATAACCATGACTTTCACTGCATATACCAGCCCTACCTTTATAAACATTGCACTAGTTGTATTGTTATTATTATAATTTTGTTGTTTTAGTACTAAATAAGTAATGTTTTTGTTGAAATTGTTTTAAAGTGATTGTGTTGGCTTAATTGAAGTAAATGTATTTCTGCATGTAAAATCTAATGAAAGGCAAGTTCTGAACTAGTCTCAATTTGACGTTTTTACTAGGCCACGCGTGCCACGTATGGACACGTCAGTAATACGTGGATTTTGACGCGTAGGGTGCGATTTTTCTTTACTGTACGTATGAATGTACTCGTATTGTGTATTCTTTGTTTTATAGTGTTTTATATGAAATTAGAACTTCGTACATTTATCTTTGTGTTCGTTGATATATATTTGTATAGGTATGTCGTTCTATTTGTCTTTGTTAACTTAATATTTTTATGTCGAACATTGTAGGTCCGTGTTGTCGCCGCTGACTTCAGCAGAATACCAGTGCAACGGGTGTACCCATTGCTTACGCTGAGCTGAGGTCAGTTTTGACAGCACACAACATTACACTTTAAGTTCTTGTATGTACTAAATGTTAATTGTCCTGTTTGTTTTATACTGGGTTGTGTTGTGTGTTGGCAAAATAAATACTTTATTTTTATTATTATTATTATTATTAGTCGTTAAGTTCATAATTTCGTACATTCATATCAGTGAGCACCACATGGAACATGGACTCTTTAATCTGTAATGAGCGCGTTGACCAACTGATCCATTTGAAGCGAACTATGAGATTTGGATCAGTGTATCAATTTACTAAACTAACTCTCTGAGTCAATTCAGTAAAGATTTACACACGTCTAGATTTCAGTATACGAGTGAATAAAATAGATATATATTCGTACGTTCCGCGAAGTCCGGCTTTCAGTGATCAAGTAACCAACCCAATGAGCGTTATCGCGTTCGCTTTGACTTGAGAACGTTGTGGAAATAACTACTTATCAAAAAACAATATTGATACTGATGGTTGGCGATCCGATAGCGGCTAAGTTACGTTATTTAAAACACCGTTAACAACCCATTCCTTGAGTAACGAAAAAATAGCTCACAGCGCGGTATGGTTTAAACGCAGTGTTTATATTATCTTAATTTGGTTGTGATCAGATCATTACGTCCCTATTTACGAACCGATGACATGTGTCAAACGGCCTCCATTCTATCAATGTCAATATTACTGTACTCTTTGATGTCAATACAACAGCTGACGTAAAGGTACAACAGCTGATTTTGACAGCATAGAAGAAAATAATTGGAAAATAACCAACAACGGAGTTTTCATACCATACACTTATAAAAATGCCATTACGAAGAATTACTGCTAAACTATTAAAAACTAGGGCCTCTGTTAGCTTTTTCAGAACGAGACCATTGGTCACACAAGTATCCGACAAGGAATCTGAAAGGCATTCCACGAAACAAACACACTTCGGTTATCAAACCGTAGACGAAGAAGAAAAATGGAAAAAGGGTTAGTTCTTATCTCCCTATCTATCTGCGATGCTAAGCTCCATAAAACATATTGCTGTTTTAAGCACTAATTCTATGTATGTCATTAACATATACTAGCCTCGTAGAACATATCTAACCATGGCAATAAATAAAATAATTTACTTCAAATTGGGTATATTGTATTGTAACCAATACGTTATGAACTTATATTATTCAATTTCAGTTCATGAGGTGTTTGAAACAGTAGCAGAGAAATATGACCTTATGAATGATGCCATGTCATTTGGCATACATAGGCTATGGAAAGACATATTCATGGCTAGATTGGCACCCACCCATGGAACAAAATTACTCGACATGGCTGGTGGCACTGGTGGGATATAAATTTATTAGGTTTCTGGTTTAGTATTCCTTCCTTTTAATTTTCTTTACGTTTTAAAACCTAAATGCACATGCTCTCTGCATGGTGCTCGTTGTTGTACACACGGCTGCATATCACCACCACTACCACGATATATCAAATTTGCGCAATTGATTAGAATTAAATACAATGAATTAAGGTTAAAAATCAAGTGTGAAATTTTACATTTCTCTATGCCCTTTTTGTTGATGCATGTATTCTTTAATTAAATTGTAAATTACTTCATTTCTGAAAGGCATTTCTTTTTTTCACTTTACCAGGTGACATCACATTCAGGTACATCAACTATTTAAAAAATCTCAATCCGCCTCCAGAAGACAAGAAGAGTAGTGTCACAGTTTGTGACATCAATCAGGCTATGCTGGATGTTGGGAAAGTCAGAGCAGAAAAGTACACTTACTTTTGTTTAATTCTTATCTTTTACGTAATCATAGTGATTTAATTAAATTGCAGCAACATTTAAATATGGTTTACGATAACACAATCTTGTATTTATAGGCTCTATTACAGTGTAGTTAAATCTGTTGAAGAAACATCCTATTTTTTTGGATAATTATTTGATAAGTATCAGATAATTATCAGTAGGTACTGGTAACAATTTTTAAAATACAGAAAGGCATCCATAATAGTTTAAACTTTTATTTTTGTTCCTTTAAATTATAAAGATTTTACAAATAAAAATAACTGAAATCATATTAAAATGAAATGAAAATATAACTTAATAAAATATAAATTAAATATATTTCCATAAAATGGGCCGTTCAATATTTTGTTTTGATTTTATAGGTCTATCCTTAACAATTTTCTCTATCAGAAAAACATATTTGATAGTTGTTTAAAGATGCTTCCCCTTCCTAAAGTACAATAATAGTTTGTGTAGTGTATTATAATTATCAAGTTATATTTATCAAGATAATCATCTCTGAACCCTGCCTATAGTTGTCATTTTTTTAATTTAATATAACTGCTTCACAAATTGTTGTACAAATTGCTATACATTAGCACTGACTATCATATTAATATTAATACTGTAGGGCCTAAAAGATGGATCCTAGCCCGCAAAGTCCATGGGCGTTTTTTATTATATTTATATATACATTCATCTAGATGAGCAGAGCCCACTATTTTCTTTTTTTTATCATATTGTTCTGAGACTATAGGTATAGTTATCTAGATAGATTATTCTTTATTTACTACGACAAAAAAATACTTTCCATTCTTGAGGCGACAAACCTAATTAAAAGTTTGGCCTTTAAGCAAGCATGCAGTCTCAAAGTATATAAGCATATGACATGTTATTGTTCCAGACAGGGTTACACATGGGATCGGTGCGGCGTAAGCGTGGAGTGGGTGTGCGGCGACGCGGAACAGTTGCAACTGCCTGACGATACCTTCACTGCGTACACCATCGCGTTCGGCATCAGAAACTGTACACACGTCGATAGGGTCAGAACATCAATAACTTGTACAAGATAAGCGAGCATTTTACCGGCATGCCCGCTGGACCTGCCTGGCAGGCATGTCTGCAGACTTGTCCGCGGGCATGCTCGTCTAGTGTAGTAATGTGTACGACCGTCGAAGTCATTACTCAGACTTATAGTATTGAAGTCTGTCAGGCATGTCTGCAGACTTGCCCGTTTAGTGTAGTAGTGTGTAGGCCGTCGCAGTCATTACTCAGACCTACAGAAATAAAGTCTGGCAGGCATGTCTGCAGATTTGCCCGTCTAGTGTAGTATTGTGTATAGGGTCTGGCAGGCCTGTCTGCAGACTTGCCCGTCTAGTGTAGTAGTGTGTAGACCGTCGCAGTCATTATTCAGACCTATAGTAATGAGGTCTGCAGATTTGCTCGCGGGCATACCCGTCTAGTGTAGTAGTGTGATTACACAGGCCTGTAATAATGAGGTCTGGCAAGCATGTCTGCAGATTTGCCCGTTTAGTGTAGTAGTGTGTAGAACCGTCGCAGTCATTACTCAGACCTATAGTAATGAGGTCTGGTAGACCTCTCTATTTCCCCTCTTTAACTGACACCAGAGGGTCCATTCTATTTGTCCTTTAACGAAAATTTGGAAAATTTTAAATCGTTCTTATAATTTTTGAAAGATCATGTCCGTAAAGATTAATTATGCATCAGAGACAGTGTCTGGTCCTACTTCCGTTGTATAGACATTTTACAGGAAAAGCCCTGAATAACTTAGTGTGCCTAAGATTATATATTGTTGTTGTAATAAATCAAGGAAGGGAAACATATGTAGACCGTGCGGTGTAGCGTTCAGTTCGCTCCGCCTATTTGACGTGTAGATAGATATTGCTCACAAACATACCTAAAATTAGATTATAAGGTATATGGATATAATTAATGTCTTTTCAGGTGTTGGAGGAGGCGTACCGCGTGCTGGCACCAGGCGGCCGCTTCATGTGTCTGGAGTTCAGTCACATCCCCAATGACGCACTTCAGTGGTGAGACTAACATTACACTAGTAATAATTTAAGATTCAAAACATCAAACTTTTGTTTATGCCCGCATCTTCATCTGTCTGCATATCGAAATCGGAGTTGAAATCTGATAGGATAAGTTTCTAATATGGCATTAGAGACAATATATGTACTTAGCGTAATGAGTTTTAGTAGATACAAAACGAAAGTGTCACTTATTTTTGGAGAAATACATACATGTTGCTCCATTGAAGACACTAGAATTCAATGAGGAAGTATTTAAAAAAACGAAAGCACTTAAAAAGCACCTCCACTAGATGGCGACTCTTGCTAAAGTTGATTTTTGCAGGAAAGACAGTAATTTCCGTTCCTTTTAACTAACATATTAAAAAACTGAAATTTGAAAAGTTCGAAACTTACATATCAATACGAATACGAAAATGTACAAATAGAATATGAGTTGTTTATTAAGTTTTAAAAACTAATTTACTTTTAAACATGAAAGAAAACCGGAATGGTTGTCATGGAGAAATCAAGAACGTACTGTAGCGACATCTAGTTTGATTTTGGTACCTAATGTTTTTTTAATACTTCCTCATTAATGTAATGAGCAGAGGTCGGAGTTAGGTAGAGTTATTTATGTACTTGCATCGAAATGTTGATGTTAATGTGGACCTTCCCGGGATTTCTAATGGACAATCCCATGTGGCCAACAATCTTACAACTAAATAATAATAACAAAACGTGCAGTAGTTTAAATTGTGTAAAAGCAAATAACTTTTTATTTAAAAAATCACGGGACTTTTTCTGCTCTTTAAAATTAATCTCGGGATTTGAGGCATATCCACTTTATTCTTTCGCTGTATGAAATCAGTGTAAGTACATGAATAACTCTACCTAATTCCGACCACTGGTAATGAGTCACACTCCTAGTACTCGCTGGTTTGTATAGCTAGACTAGCTAGACCCTCGAAACCTTATTAGCGCCACATTGTTGGTCGACTCTGTATTCAATGCAATGTTTAATGTAATGTAAAAGAGACATTATATAAATATATAATATGACGTCGTAGGGTGTACGATCAATATTCGTTCCAAGTGATCCCGGTGCTGGGACAGCTGATAGCGGGCCAGTGGCGACCATACCAGTACCTCGTTGAGAGCATACGCCAGTTCCCCAATCAGGTGAATATCTTGTTTATTTAATACTTTCGAAAACGTTCTAAAATAAAACTGCACAGGTATCTACATCTTTTAAACGTGGTTTAATTATACCCAGTTCTGGTATTGCTTACATAAGAAAAGTATCAATAAGAAAAGAATCGTACTTAAGAAATGTCATAACTTAAGCAAATATTTTTAACCAATGACGAGAAATTGAATGAAGAACTGTTAATGATAGTAGGTATTCAAATAATAGTAGGTATTCAAATTATTAACAGTTTTTATGTCATTCTCCTTAAATTATGACATATTCTAAAGTAATTACTTCTCTCGCCTATAGATACGAGTGTTAAAGTTATTCTATCGATACTGAGGAAATTGTCATTTCGGAAAAATACTATTCTCAAAAAATAAAATATAGTATCATAAGTAATACTTTCGATATTATTTACTTGTTGTTTTGATAATATCGATAGTAACCATTTATTAATATCGATAAGAACAATATTCAATGGAAAAAAAATATTGCTTATTTTTATTACAATATCCACATTATTGAAAAAAGTTGACAATATCGATAATGGGACGAAAATTAACAGAATAGAACTGCTCAGCTCGATATTAGTGCTGTGTATGTGATTGTCATCTGATATTCGCAGAATAACAAAAAATATGTTTGTTTTTATTTATATATTTAATTTACAGGAAAAGTTCAAAAGCATGATCGAAGATGCAGGTTTTAGACAAGTCACGTACGAGAACCTCACGTTCGGCACATGTGCCATACATTCAGGCTTTAAGATATAAAATAAATAAACTTATAGGATAAAATTAGCATGTTGTTATAATAAATTAAACAAAAGTATAATATTTTAGTGTTTTATTTAGTCCATCAACTGTGTTGGTCTTTGGAATGCAAATCCAGTACCTAAATTACATTTCCACTCGTAAAACTATGATATATTATTCAAACGACACATCAGCCGTACGTCTTAAAATTCATTTATGATACAATTTGTGATTTAGTCTAAGTCTAAATAGCATTATGCATAATATATCCCATTATTATTTTTCAATAATAGTGTCAGTTATCAACTTACAAGTTTACAATATATCTAATTAAAATGCTAGGTTGATCTTATATAAACATTCATTCGTCCACCGGCCTTCCATCCCTGGCTAGTCCTGCTTCACTCGGAGAAGCTCGTTAAAGCATGCTTATATTATGACACTGAAAGTTAGATCTAACACACTATTGAGCAAAGCTAACTTACACGCCGTAACCGCGTCCTAACTTCTACATAAAACGCAGAGACACATCGAGAAGCAAAAAATTAAAAGTGTGAGTTAAGGATATCCAAACAAACATTAATGATTCTGGTACCGAGCGTGCATTCAACAATTAAGTTATTTGCAATAATTTCAAAATCATACCCAAAGATCCGTGATCCCTGCGTCCGGCAGATCCAGTCCGATATCCAAAATCCAAACGGTTCCGAGCGAGCACAATCCCGTAAAAAGTTAATTCCATAAATCCACGCGATATAGTCTATTGGTCACAAAGTCCAGACCAGATCCTTCGCTGCGAGATCCTTTGGTACGATCCAGAAATCCGAGTCCTAATGCGGTCCTACATATCCATCGACTCACACCTCCAGCCAAGCACATCCAACGAGCCCAATCCACAGTGGATGAAACAAAAGAAAATACTTTTATTATATGTGACACATACATACAGGGACATATTACATATATAAGTAGTTACAGATACAGTCGCGCCCCACCTGCCGAATTATACGGATGCATTCTATTGAAATATGGTCATCACCAAATATCCAATGCAACGTGTCATCTACCACGGGTTCCGCGCGCGTCGAACGTTTACAAACAATATTTAAAAATCAATTACATTCTTCGATGACAATAAATAACGTCAACGCCTCGAATCACCCGGTAAGCTAAAATATAATGAAAATCACCGAGGAAAAGATGAAATCTACACCGTTATTCAGCAAGGTTTAGCGATGACAACCGTTTACACGAATACAGCGTATCCCTGGTGATCGTGCAGCTTTGATATTGATATAACAATGTTAAGGCGTATTTTCATCGGTCGACTGGGTCGCACTCGGGATGTAATTTTCACTAGGCATGCGGGAAATTTTTCAAGTCACGATAAAAAAAACTAGTCGTATCACGCTACATATCGACCGATGAGTACGCGTCTGTATAGAGTTGAGTCGAGTGTTACAGTATGCGGATGATATAATATGAAGGCGGAGTAGGGGGTGGTGTTACGACGGCAGCGGCGGCGGCGGTGGCGGCGTCACACCTGCTGTTGATAAACATCACCTTCAGTTCACACCTCCCGAAGATACTACACGACACGTGCTCAAACCATGCTCAATAATAAAACGTGGCACTGATGAATTGGTTCAAAGTAATACTTTTTACGACGATCCCGATCCAGTAAACTTGTAGGTGTGTTTTAAAATTTGTATTATTTAAGCGTAGGGAGGTAGGTTTACATAAAATCTTAAATCTTAATATAACAGGGCACACTTTTGTTTGTTATAATTGATATTTACGCACATTTTAAGAAAAAAACCTCTAAGCATAATAATATTTAAGCATAACATCCTAAAGCATAAAATTAATTAAAAACGTGCGTAAGGCCGCTGCCTAGGCACTCGTTCGGTTTGCTTATTGTATTACTAACAATTCTAACCTAGCCTTCATAGACATGAATGATAGGGATGATGACTGGGTAAAAAAAAATGCAATTCTATTTAGTCCGTCATTCAGATAATAGAAAAATATTAGATACGTATTTTTTTTTACTTCAATTTAACAAGAAAAAGCTTAGATAACAGGCATTAAAGTTGAGGAGTGGGGGCTCGCTACGTCACAGTTGAGTAGAAAACGTACCCTAACGTGACGTCATACGAAATTTCAACTCAATGTAACGCCTTAATTTTATGATTACGAAAAAAATAAAAAAAATACGTGTTTAATATTTTTTAACACTCTACCTGACGGACAAACAAACAAAAATTAGTCATCATCCCTATTATATTACGCGAATTAAAATTGTGCAAAATAAATTCCTATAAGATAATTATGCCAAGTAGTATGTGCCTAGTGGCCACAACGCTAATATTTAAGCAATTTTATTTAAAAAAAATTGTTGCATTATTGGAGCTATGGGAATGAACATAACTAGAATATATTTGTGTCCTATGACTTTAATAATTTAAATTATAAAAATAAAAGAGGCGCTTTTTATATAAAAACAAAACTTATTATTATATTTATCAATTTTGAACTGACAATGCTATACTGGAAAATATCTCAACTTCAGACTACCATGGGCAAAGTGGATTTTTAAGCATTCTTCATAAAGAAATCTTATTTTTTAAATCAGGCATTGTTTGAGCACGTTTATAAAAATAATAATGTTTGAGAAGTCATATCATTTTTTTAATATCCTTGACATAAAAATAATTTGCTTTAAAAATAGTGTTATAAATGTTAAATTGAAATTAAAAGGTGCAAGCATGTTTTGCAAACTAATAAAAGTTACTTCGATAGCATGTTGACTTCTCTTACACGTATTTTTATTTGGTTTGTAAGTAGAAACAATAAATAAATTATTAAGCTCACTGTATTAAAAGAAAAGGTTAAATTTGATTCCAAACCTCAATGGATTTCCACTCCATACTGCAAGAACTGATATAATGGAACATATTTCATTGTATAAAAAATCAAATCAATATTATATAAAATCCAAATATTAATTTTGACATGTATTTAAGATAGTTTTTATATCATATAAAATTAATAATTTATATTATATCATAACGGTATTGCGAAATTATTATTACATTCATTATTATATACATTACAATCTCAATAAAATTGTTGAATTTTTACATCAGTTACAGACATTCAGTTCATTGAAATTGGACTTTAATATACAAAATGTAATATCAGATATTTAATTAACAGATTCGCCAAATGCCTCAAAACGATATTCTTATTAGTATAATATATGTATCATCCTATCAAAATAAATCGAAGTCACTAGTTTATACATAAGAGTAAACTTTAAATGATAATAATTTCTTCAAGTTATGCATTATTTTATCATAAAAACGGCACATCATCCAAAAATTAAAAAGGGACTCGCTACAAATGCAAATATTTTTGGGTGGAAACTAGGAGTTTGATTTAAATTTCTGTGCAAGATTTTTTGACAAAGAAAAAATACGGTCTCTAGACTGAGCCCTAGAAATTTCAACTATAAACAAAATGCATATAGTAGTGTAGTGTAGGTGACTGACCTCAATAGTTGTGTGAGCGCGAGCGGGAGCGAGAGCGCGAGTAGCTGCGTCTCACCGGCGAGTATGTAGGCGAGCCGCGCCGCCGCGGGGAGTACGACCGAGACCTGACACACAACGCAACACATATATTTTATACATCACAAGCCAGTGGTTCTTTCAGTTATTTAATTTGACAGATTTGTATCTGGTCATCTGGCCACTTACTCTATTTCTAAATTATTTATATATTTGATATGAATAGATTGATGAGTAAATATATTTTTTATATTTTCTAATATTATGATGAAAAATTTAACTACTCTGTATGAAATAAAACAAGTAGCAGGCCTTGCCGAGTTTCTTCTTGGTACAAGGTCTCCCGCCGTAGATTTGCGAACCAATGGCATAGACTTTCAACTTTCACAAGTTTTTTATAACAGCATAGACTGAATAGATGATTTAGAATAAATTATTTTATAAAATAAAAAACATTTAGGATGATCCCAAAGACCACCCGTTCAGAACGACTGATTTATGGCAACTGACTTTAGTTTACTTATTTAGTCTAAGTGCATGGTGTCAAAATTCCAAGTCAATTTGGCATGGATCGATCTGCTAATCTTAGCAGATCTATGGGTATACCCATATCTATGGGTCTTAGCAGATCGATCCATGCCAAAGAACAATAGAATTCTGACATATTCGACGCGTCCTGATGTGCGGGAGGTTCATGTTCTTATGTAAACAATTTTAAAACTTTGCTAATATTCGGTTTATGTGTTTAGCTAAAATTTTTTAGTGAAAGTATATTTCGATCAATGGACAGACAATCCACTCACCGGTCTCGGTCGCCGCTGTATCTGTCTCCACCTCCGCCGCCGCCACCGCCGTAGTCTTCCTTCACACGTATATATGACACCTCACCCTGCATCCAACATACGCACGTTGAGAATGATAATGTCACTAACCAAAAACGACGTATTTTTTTACTTTTGGCAACATTTTTATTTTGTTAAGTATAAACTTTAAAATGCAAAGATTCCTGTGAACGTAGTTTGCATAGAAACTGCTAGGTGGCGTTGTGACGATACGTTGTATAGAGCGGCGGATTACTATTTCTTGAACTTTAAACGCTCATTAGTGAAATCGCATTTTTTGCATTGTGTCACTATCGTTCTCAGTGTACGATATATAACTGAAAAAACTTTCTCCATAGTAGAGAAATGTTAGAATACCTTCAAAAACCTATATATTCTTAAAATAATCTTACTCATGCTTAAGCAGTTCGATTCATTCAACATTTTTATGATATAACAACCTAGTTACAGGACTTTTTTGAACGTCGAGAATGACCGAAAAATTCACCATGAACAACAATCATATTATCAATTTCAATACTAAATAATAATCAAAATAGTTCCTGGATTAAATAGCATCGAAAGTTCTCACCTCATGACTCCTGAACCGCGAGTCGTCCAGCTTTTTAACTGCATACTTCATGTCCTCGTGCCTCAGAAACTCAACAACGCCGGTGCCATCTTTAAAGGTGTCCGCGAAGCAGACGTCTCCCGCCTCCCTCATGTGGTCCTTGAGATCCTGCCAGGAGCCGGATGGCGGTAGACCTGTGACGAGTACGCGGTACTCAGAGCGTCGCGCAGGCGGTCCGCGAGCGGCGCCGCGCTGTCCGAAGCGCTCGCCCCCTCCGCGCGCCCCGCGTCCGCCGCCTCCACCCCCGCGCGGGAACTCCACGCGGAGTCTGTACCCGTCATAGTCGTATCCGTCGCGAGCGCGCACTGCATCGTCCGCATCTCTATAACAACAGGGACACATCATAATCACTTATTTACAACATGCTATTTTGAATAAGAAAATATTATGGTGTAAATAAGAAATTGAATAAGTTGGTAACCAACAGATGAAAAGGGAAACTGCTCATGAGTAAGGTAAGGTGAAATCAGGCATAATATGGATCAAGCTCGGTAGAATCGGAAAAATTGAGTTTTAAAAAACTTTGCCTGATCAGTGGCAATAATTTTTATTTTTTAACAGATAGATTTCTTTAAGCAGACGTTTTCTCAGTTTCTTGTAAGGCCGAGTGTGCCCCTCAGGGAGAACATCTTCTTGGTGTATTTATATAACATAGAGTTGAATGTAGTAAAAGGATATCCTTTTGTGTCAGTCGCTTTGTAGAATTTTGTTGCATTAATTCACCAGCAAGTTCTTTTGGATGGTTTTGTAGACGTGCTTGATAATTTTTAAATGCAGAACATATTTCGTACTTCACAGTACTCATTTCAAGTGTTGGTGAAATTCATTGTTACTTTCCAGCCATGGCACTTGGGATATGGATTGAAGGATAACATTTTGAATCAGTTGCAATATTTGGATATTAGAGTTACTAGCACTAGCCCAGAGCTGTATGTCATACATCCATACAGGTTTGAGAATGGCCTTATAGCTTAGCAATTTGTTATCTGTTGTGAGTTTGCTGTTACGGCCCAGTAACTAATACAGCTCTTTTATCGCAAGTAAAGTTTTTCTATTTTACTTTTAGACTATCCAGATGCAGACCGAGGTATTTTACAGTGTCTGCATGCGTTAAATTGTACTCGAGCCGTACCTCTGGACGATTATTATTTCTAAAGGTAAAAGTTACTTGTACCAATTTATTTGCACTCGCTTTTATTTTTCATTTCCATAACCACACAGTCACTGTATCCAGATATCTCTGTAGTTTTTCTGAAGCTCTGATTGAACCTAAGTTAGTCTAGGATGGCTGTGTTATCTGTAAAATTGGCAACAGTGATATCTTCGATATGAGGAAGCTCTGAGAGAAATAAAAATTATTTAGAGCACGGGGTCAAGAGCACAACCTTGTTGGACTCATGCTTTAATTTCATAAAATTTCGATGTGGAATTGCTGTACCTGGAAGCATCTTCCTACTAGATAAGACTGCAAGGAAAAAAAGAAACTGTGCGAGAGCATGGTATTTATTTTACAGAGTAATCCCGTAATCCAGCAGTGAGAGGGGCAAAACCCTGACCGAATGGATACTATGTTGTAACATGTAAAGGAAAAGAGGTAGACAGCTCAAGAGATGGGCTGATGACATACGTAGTACAGTGAGACTTTATGGATAAGATCAGCCAGAAACAAAGAATATCTAAACAACATCTAAATTACGATCCGTGATAAAAATTTCAACAACAAACTTTCCACAAGTTTAACCATGAGGCCCATCATAGCACTCATTTGTTGTAGGATGAGATCGAATTTTTCAGCTTGCTTGATCAACAATAATTCCAATGTTCGTTGCAAGGGGGGTTGCAAATTTACCTTTCCTCTCAATATTAATCTTTCCTCTACATGTTTTTCTGTGTGGTGGTTTTTCTCAGATTTTTGTAGGTTTCAAGTTGTCTTTACAGTCATTCTAGCTGAAGTTACAGGCTTTGTTTGTTTGGTTAGTCTAGCTAGAATTTCTCTATATATTTCGCTTCCCTTGTAGATGGCAGGGCAAGTGCCTTGACATAAAGCACACAGTGCAGGTTAGAACTAATCAATTTTTGGACAGTCAGAGTTTATTTGTTGTTGAGCACATTTAACACATGAATATGGACACATGCAGTAGTTTTTAGTGTCCATATTGTTGGCACTGGATTACTGACTTTCTTTTTTTCAGACTCTCAATCACAACCATTTGGCAGTCTATAATTCTGATAATATATTAACAATATCATTCAACTTTCAACATTACTGTAAAATAACAGTCCTTAACAAAATTTATGAATAAATCTTTTGTTTTCCTTCATTTAAAAACAGTTGCTGACACAATGGTTAATGAATTTTAATAATCATATGTTTTAACACCAAAGGTTAAAAGACCTGCATATGCAAATGATTACATAAATAATACTGTAAAATTACATAATTTAACAAAACTTCAGTCTTCATTAACAAAATATATATTATAATGTATCATTATTAAAACCATGAAATATACAAGAGAAATATGATTAAAATATCCTTAGAATTTAATTTCATGAATAAATTAGCATCGATTCAAGGTCCCCTCTATTACAAAGTTATTTACATTTTTTTACCACCTTGTGATATGTTATAGATAGTATATTTCCATAAGTGTGATTATTGGAAATAGTATATTAAATATGGCTAGAAATAAATAATATGTAATTTTTTTTACTGTCTACATCAGTACTATTACTGAAATATAAAGATTTATCAAAAAAAACCCTCAAAAAAAATTAAAATGAATTGATTACTAAACCTTAGTTTTGCAACAACCAGAGCAGATACTTATCATTTTCAAATAAACTCATAGCCTGTTAGAAGAATGGGAGTATAATATCATTTAAGTACCTATATCAAAATATCATAGTAAAATTTTGGGTACTAAAAACAGTGCAGTCAATATTTTTTGTTAGTACCTAAGAATAATCAGTTTGATGTATATTTTTAAATTACCTGGGATCTTCGAACTCCACAAAAGCGAACGGGGGCCCCTTTCTGTTCTTCAGGTCGACGAAGGTAACTTTACCGAATTTATAAAATAGGTCTTGGATGTCCTTTGTTCTTATGTCCGGGGGCAAGTTACCAACGTATATTCTACATTCATTTCTGTTGCTTCCGCTTCCACCAGACATAATGGATTAGGATATGTTACACCAAAACGATTTACTTTTTTCCTTTATTTTCCGCTCGTTAGAACAGCGTCACTCGTGTTTCATTTAGTTACGGTCAAACATGGCGTCTCATTAATTCGATAGAAAAGAAATACGCCACAAATAGGGTTAACAATATATCGTATAATCGATATATCGACACTCAAAAATACCGATTTGTATCGATATAAAAGTAACATCGAATAAAACCAACATATTAAAGGCTAATATCAAATGAAATCCTAAAAGTAATCAGTTATCCAGATTTTCACAAGTGATATGACATTAGCACGTGTGACATAATTTTGTATCACTGATTTTTTGCTTTGAAATTTGTACCAGTTTTTATTGTTATAATGTGAAAAAGAAAATCGCTCATTAATGGGGTAATTCCATTGACGTTTCCAAATCAGTATTTGAGCCGGTATCGAGTTAATACAAGAAATTTTTAATGCCTGAGAAAATTCACATGTTGCGTTGGGTGTTTTTTGTGAGCTATCTAAAGCATTTGATTGTGTTTTTCATGAAACATTTAGATTATTTAGACAAGATTTAGAGATAACCATTGGATTTTACTGTCTCATACATGACTAATAGAGTGCAGAGGGTTGATATCAATGGCAAAAGACCCCCTGGATCGAAAGTTAAGATGGGTGTTCCGCAGGGCACAACACTTGGTCCTTTCTTGTTTTTAATTTACGTAAATAACTTGCTTTATTTCGCAAGGGATAATCACGAAAAGGTCTTGCTAGAGGATGCCACTTTACTTTTGTTTAAAATTAAAAGAGGGCTGCCTCTAAATGACGACGTGAACAATTCTATCGCTAAAGTAGTACATTGGTAGGGTGTAAATAATCTTCTCCTTAATGAAGGAAAAACAAAATGCCTAAAATTTGTACTACCTATTGTAAAAAAGTAGATATAAATGTGAATTTAAAAGATAAGAACATGGGCCTTGTGAATACCACAGTATTTTTAGGAATAACATTAGATTCTAAAGTACAGTGGGGCCCACATATTGGTAAATTGTCGAATAGAAATTGCTCTTCAGCAAATGCCGTAATGGTTTACTGACATAGATACTGCCAGATTAGTATACTTCAGTTATTTTTATAGTGTAATGTCGTACGAAATCTTATTGTGGGGAAATACTGCCGACATACAAACGATTTTTGTGTTTCAGAAAAGAACAATTAGGTCGATTTATAAATTTAAAGAAATAGACATATATGTATTGAGAAGCCACTGTGCTTCTCAATACATATACGAGAACTTAATGTACGTTCGTAAAAATATTAGTTTGTTTTGTATAAAAAGTGATGTTCACAATTTAAATACAAGAAATAATTATAAATTCACTGTGCCTGTCACTAGACTGCAAAAAGTTAATAACTCATTCAGGGGTCTTTGTGTGCACTTCCACAATAAGGTCCCAAGCAAAGTACAACAATTAGATATCATGCAGATTAAATCTACTATTAAAATAATATTTATTAAAATTTTTATCATAAGATATCCTAGTATATAACCGATAAGAATACTAGGACTTGAGATGGTCGAGCAACTGAATAGGTGATTTCTTCTAAACTCATTATATCTCAAATATTATCTTCTTGTCATTATTATGTTATCATTATAACATCATAGATTTTTTTTCTCTATTTACAATGTATTGATCTCCGTTATTTTTATCAGCCAAAGGACGGCCTGAACGAGTGGTAGGGAAAAAAATGTTGGTCGATTCAAAAGTACTTTTAAGGAGCCTATTTGAATAAAGAAGTCAAAATAGACTTTTTACTTAATTTCAAAATAAAGTGTTATTTTCAATGTAATTCCAAACTATTTGAAGTGGCAATAAGACATTTTTCCATTGTAACCAGAAGCATTCATTCAGAATGCATTATTTTTAAAGCAGCATGCCAAGAATTACTAGGTCGAGGAACTACATAGGAACAGGTTTAGTAGCCAGGCAGAAGGTTTAGTAGCTGGTAGGTTTTGTACGCATTTTTCATTAAGAATATTTTGCAGTTTATGTTGTGAATGTAAAATAGATCTAATATAAGATTTTTGACTTAAGATTGGCTTTATGAAGTTGTAACGTACTTGACATATCGATATTTTTATAAAACTTTTATCTCTAGCTGCTAATCGTATTTTTTTTTCTTTGTGGATTCGCACGGCTTGTGCATTTAGCCAATGTGTAAAGAAGGTGTAACTTTAGAGAAATGCCAGGAAAGGGATAAGGTTAAAGATTTTTGGGAATTTGGGATAAAAAGGATTAGAAAATGCATAAGGATAAGATGAAGGATATAATTATAATATAAGGTAAAGGGATGATATGAAGAAATAATATTACAGTTCAATATTGTTGAAAATAATAAATTTTATTCTTAATGAAAAATGCTTAAAAAATCTTCTTTGTTCCTGGCACTCTAAGAGACTCAAACTATTTTCATAAAATTTAGTATGCGGGAGAACGGGAGATTAATTGATTTAGCTATGAAAAAAATACCGACCAAAAATCGACCTTTTTCGTAATCAAATTGGGATTATAATTATTAAGTGAGTTACGAAGTGGAATGTAGTGTGGAAATTACTGGGCCATGCGTGTACAATTTTTGGGAAACATTGCCCTACACCATACAGGACCCCAGATATAGGATGATGTAATCGCGGCTTTAGTCTTAATCTTATAATGAAACTATTAAAAAAAACATTAGTTCCCGAAAATAAACTAGATGTCGCTACGGTACTTTCTTAATTTCTCCATGACAACTCTTCTGGTTTTCTTTTAAATAAACAATTCATATTTTATTTGTAATTTTTCGTATTTGTATTGATATCTAAGTTTCGACCTTTCAAATTTTAGTTTTTTAATATGCTAGTTAAAAGGAATGGAAACGACTATCTTTGGTTCATTCGTTCCCTTAAAAATCAACTTTTGGTAGAGTCGTCATCTAGTGCTTTTTTAGTACTATATTTCTTCATTCATATTTATATAGTTATATATATTGTAATATTTGACAGGGCATCAATACATAACGCGTCTGGAGAAACTACATTAAACGTCAAATACAAACTACATTAACGCCATGACATACAAAATCTTGGTAATAGGTAATGAAAGTTGATGGGACCTCCTACTGAGGTGTTCCCTGTGCTACATGCTAAACACCAGCGACCAAATCTGTTTACGGTTTCGGATTGATTGAGGATAAAAAAAATTAGCATAAAATAATATTATTTTCTTCTTGAAGTTGAGGAACAGTTATATGTAATAACTACCAGTGCGTGCGTAGCCTTATATCTTAATCAAAGAGTACTTTTATACATATGCGCCGATTACACTACCCAATCTATCGGGCCCTATATATCGGCCGCGATTTAGGGCGGTTGGTGTCGTTGTGATTACACTGCACTAGATCGCCTCCCTAACTCAGTTGGCATGCAAACGTGGCGTTGAAAGGATGGCTCCTCCGCTCACAAAGTACCAAAAAATTGACATAGCCCATACTTTAACTGCGGGCGTAAATAATAAAACAAAATATTGGGTGAAAAATATTTGCTTCTAAATGACCAACTATGCAGTTTGAATTACTACAGAATGAGTTCTGCACAGTTTGATCATATATTACCCTAACAGCGATCACATTACCCGATAAATCGGCCCTAACTCTCATTGGGCGATCGGGCGCCCACGTTCACCCGATATCGGGTCTCTAACTCTCTAACTGCGATTAGACTACCCAATTTACAGTGTACCCGATGGATCGTGCCGCTAGATTGGGTAGTGTAATCGGCGCATTATACCTATATGGAAAATCTTAATGCGGAAAGAGAAAGCAAATTCATAAAAAAACTACTTTTTGGGGAAAGCAAAGGAATACAGCCAAACAGCTCAACTGTATTTTTTTTGAAATGTTTGTCTATTACTGCCTTAAATAAAAAAATCAAAATTATGGCCTTAACAAAACATAAAAAACATTTAAGTAAACATATTTACCACTTCATTAGTAGTCTGTGGCCCGCAGATTATATTTTTGATGTCATTTTATTCTTTCAATTAAAAGAACTTATAGTACAATTATTATTTTAAAATAGATATATTTTAAATGCTGGCCATTTGGTAAATTACCACCAAATTATTTTTAAAATTTTATTTGAATTTCGAACGCCCCCTAGCGCACAAGGAAGTAATCTTCACTGAAAGAAGCTTGTGAAAGAATCCTCTAGAAAGTAGGCATAGAATCTCCGGTATCAAAATCTTTACGTGATTATTTGTTCATTTTCCCGAAGTTAATGTGAGTATTTCTCTATTTTCAATTTATTTTATTTATAGTTCGTTCTAACTAAAGTATATTTCAAGTGAATTTCATAATTTTCTTTTTGTTAAACAGACTTTTGTTTTACCCAATATTCGCAACATATTCTCGTCGTGTTTTCGCGAAAATGTGCAGCAAATGCGTCTATTGATTTAACTTATTTATTTCTATAGTGATAACCTAGAGAATGCGGTATTGCGTTATCGTCAATATCGAATTTGGTTCTCGCTATTTTAATATTAAATGACGGGAATTATCGCTAGTGCTTCGGTTAGAATTCGTACAAAAAAGTCTAGTCAAGGAGTTCAGGCTCGCAGGTATATTTTTGCACGAAATCATGGTTCACGCTAAAACAATAAGTGTAATCTATTGTGATTGTTGCTCCATAATTTCGTAAAGAGCGCGCACTGGAGCCGCAGAATTCGTCTGACCTTTTACTGGAGGTTATTTTTAGCTTCCCCTTGTACCTACTTAAACAATCAATGATCAATCCCATATCATAGATACCCAGCCTTTTTGTCAGCTAATAAAACTGTTATTTGGATTATCTTTTCATATGCTTTAGATAATTTAACTAACTTTTGTTTTGGTCATATGTTGTTTGGGATAGGTATTGTTGGTTTTTTGTTTGCAAACCATAAATCTTATTTTCTTTCAATAGCAACCCACCTGACAAAATGTGTGACCGCAAGGCGGTAATCAAGAATGCTGATATGAGCGAGGAGATGCAGCAAGATGCTGTTGACTGTGCAACACAAGCGCTTGAGAAATTCAACATAGAAAAGGTTAATATATTTTTAAATTTTTTAAAGATTTGAATAAAAATAATAAGATTTCTTCTTCTCATATTTTATTTGTATGTGAAATGCTATTAGTATATTTTGTGGTTAAAGAAAAGGAAGTGAATAATGGCTAATATTAAGAACCCACTTTTTAGGTGTAATCTGATTTTTGACCTGTTTTGTATACTGATTGAAATTTACTTATTGGATGGTGTTAACTTCCAGGACATAGCAGCGTTCATAAAGAAGGAGTTTGACAAGAAGTACAATCCGACGTGGCACTGCATCGTGGGGCGCAACTTCGGCTCGTACGTGACGCACGAGACCCGCCACTTTATCTATTTCTACCTGGGCCAGGTGGCCATCCTGTTATTTAAGAGCGGCTAGAGTGTTGATGTTTGTACAGAGTGGTGTTGAGAATGTGCTGGGGCTGCAGATCTCACATTCCTGCCCGCGGGCGCATCCCGACGCTGGCGTCAGCGTCACTCGGGCTCTAGCACATTCCTCACTTGTACCATGTTAGCAATGTACACTTGTACGGTTATGTTATTGATCTGTGTGTACTTATACGGATACAGTATTGACTCGGGTAACTTTCACTTCTAGTGTATTTATATTAATGAAAATTTTAGTTAATTATCCTAGACTTATTACCTAGCATAGTGTAAAAGTCATATGTTAGTACCTAACTAAATCTATTGTTTAATTTCTTTGTTAATAATTCACTGGAGATATTTTCAATACTTCTATAATTATTAAACTTTCTTACAAACCATTTTGACCTTTTTATTTTTTGAAAATTGTAAAACCAGATGCAACTGTGAAATTGGCACATATTTAGTAATTGGGTTAAATAGTTAAGTTACGGAGATAAACGAGTCTATGACGCTGCTGGGCTGACGTCATTCCGGCAGCTCCTCTGTTAGAACTGTTTTTTTTAGTACATACAATATATGAAATTGAATTTTTCATGTATACCTATATCCTTACTCTGAAGAACTGGTGTGCCTGAAATTGGCCCTTTTTTGTACAAATTCCGTTATACAGATCACCAGCGATCCTACCCGCGGATATTAATCCTATTATTAGATCTGAATAAAGCCTAATGAAACCTAATAAAAATCAATAGGATGAAAAAAACTTCCCATCCCCATATCTTAATAGTACCAAGCCTTAGATTATACTAAATCGAAACAATCCAAACAAAATTGATGCAGTAACAGTTACTCATAAACAATAATATTCCCAGCCTTTTTTTGTTTTATTAAAACAATTGGACAATAAGAAATCTTTATAATGATGGAAGAATAAAATCTTCAGTATCATCATATTTCAATGTTTTTAGCCACTTGGTTACAGTTTTTTTACAACTATAGATTGAACTATAGATTTTTCCAACTATACTAATTAGATATAGGTATATTTAAGGTTTTATTTAATATATTGTAAATAAAGGGACCGAGGAATGTAAAAACTGTTGAGCATGGCTTGAGTTACAAGATTGTAGAATGCAAACTTTGTTCTTTCGGCGCTTATCCTTATTAAGAAGAGGGTCGTAAATGATTTGCGAATGTTTTTTAAGAGTGATTTACAGTATAAAAGATTATCTTATTGAGAGAACATCCCACTTTTCATACAATTTATTAGTAGGAAGGCGATAGGGGAGGCCTGCACTCACCTTCAAAATGGCTCTGAGCTATCTCAAGTTGAAGAAGATTCGTTTTTTGAAACTCTACCCCATTATGTAATGCAATAATTTACCAACGATTGACATAGTAAGTCATTCTAATAATTTGTCCATTCGCAACATAATGTAATTTTTTAAAAATATTATTTTAATTTACGTAGCATAGCAGTTAATATATCTATATTTAAATAAACTTTCCAGGTCATCATCTAATACTTTATTTATTAGTCTGGGACATAGTGGCGTTATAAAACTAAATTAACTAAATATTTTTAATAGAAAAATAAAAAATAAGCTGGCGCTGCTCGCCTGACGTGAACATGGCAACGCAACGCTATATCTTTTAAACTTTTACTGTCACGAAATACTGACTGATATAACGTGATAAAATCTAGAATCTGAATAATAATGATTCAAAGTCAAATCTCTAACGCCTACCGATTGCTATCAGCAGATAACAAACGTTCCTGATGGTTAAATCATAGCAAACTCATACTCATACCAATTACCAATCACAATTTGAATATTCCTACTTTTATAGTTTGAAGTCTGTTCTTTTTTTTGAAAAAACGTTTTTATTTCATGCTTTTTAGTGATATTGGTAAGCTCGGTGGCGTAGAGGATAAGCGCCGCGGCCCGCGACCGTTGTTGTTAAGCAACTTTCGCAAGGGTCGGTCACGGGATGGATGATCAAAAAAATATTATCTCGAGCTACTTCGTGCTTCGGAAGGCACGTTAAGCCGATGGTCCCGGCTGCATTTGCCTTCCAATCCGCATTGGGCCAGCGTGGAGGGTTATGCATAAAGAAGGTCTAGGCCCCTGCAGTGGGGACCTAAAAGGGCTGATTATTTATAGAATAAGTAACACTTACAATATTAAATATCTATATAAATAAAAATATTCAATATAAATGAAACATTTTTTAAACGGTTTCATTCGTTTTGGACCCTTTTCAGGTTCCGTGTTCACATAAGACTAAGGTTTCCAGTATAATATTTTAATCTTTGGACTAAGGTGTTGATTGCCTTTTTTAATTGAAAGTATAGCTACCTTCAAAAACCTATACTATTGGACACATTCACAATACAAAAAAATATTATGTATTACGGCAACGTTTACATATATTAAATTAAATTACTTAAAAATTAAAGTTATTTTTTATTCCAACTTTTGGAGTCTTGTCTGAGAAGAACTGGCGAAGCAAACTCCGTCAAGAGAATGTGAATTGCTCCCTTTAATTTAATATTTACAGAATGAACTAACTATATCTTTTGTTTTTGTAATGTGTGATATTTGATTAATTACTGGATCTCAGAAAGAAACTGGATCTGGTGGTAGATTATGGTATTTATTAAATGTATTTAAAAAAAGCACCTCCACTAGATGGCGACTCTAGCAAAAGTTGATTTTTGCAGGAAACGAATCATTTCTGGTCCTTTTAACTAACATATTAAAAAACAGTCATTTCTGGTCCTTTTAACTAACATATTAAAAAACTGAAATTTGAAAAGTTCGAAACTTAGATATCAATACAAATACGAAAAAGGACAAATAGAATATGAGTTGTTTATTGAGCAAACCGGAAAAGTTGTCATGGAGAAATCAAGAAGGTACCGTAACGACATCTAGTTTGATTTCGGGAACTATTTTTTTTAAATACATTAAAACGAAAGAACAACAGAAAATTAGATATCTACCTATATAAAAAATATGTCAACATATAGACTTTGTTTTTGTTTTAAAATTTGATTGCTTGTTTGTTTGCATTGGATAGGTTCCGAAACTAATTGGACTGATTATAAATTCTTACATTTACGGAAAGCTATATTATATAAATATTTAGGTGATATTTGAAGAAAAGCATATTTTGTTTTATTATAAACAGAAAACTAATGATTTGATTTTTATAAAATTTAAATGGGTCAACCTTAGGTCATTAGCTGTCTAATAAAAAAAAAAATATTAAAAATTCGTTGATTCGAGGAAAACATCGGTGAACATACATAAAAAAATACATCGCAATTGAACACACAACCTCCTCTTTTTCGTTTTGAAGTCAGTTAAAAAGACAATTTTTTTAAATTTTCTCACACGATGGAGTAAAAGTTGATAATTTTGACCAAAACAATGGGTACCTATTTGACCCTTTTCTGAAAACTATTTTAGATGGTTATTTAATACATTATTTACAATGGTTGTTTTATACATATTTCATGGAAATCTGTCCTATTTTTGATGACAATAATTGTTAAAGTTTAAATAGCCCAAATCCCGCAAATTCGCTGCTCTATGTAATGGCGCTGATCACGTGGTATTTGTGACACCACATACACCAACAAATAGTAAATGAAGTTAAATTTTAAGTTTTGTATTTGTATCTACTCTGTTTTTCTTTATAAAAACAAACTACTAATTGTATGTATAAATACAAATTTTGCGTATCTCTAATAACACTGCTAAGACATGACAAGAACCTGGGAGCCAATTCTACTAAATAAATTTTGTTTAAGTCCAATCGAAAACGGATCAAAAACTGAACGAAACCGAACGAAACTACAGTTTTTAATGGTTTTCCTATTCTACAAAGTGACATACGATACAATTCCAGTTCTATTTTAGCTGGCATTGTATCGTTTGTCATAACTCATAAGTAGAATTGGCCCCCTGTTATTGGTTGTTGACGACAATTAATTGCAGGACTTTTTCGTCGTTTATTAAATTCCTAAGAATGTTGCATTTTCTTTACGTTATTTTATTAGAGGTAAAATATTACATACATATATTGCCTGCAAATTCTAATAAATAAACTTTATTAGATTATTATATAACAGGATGACCACAAAACGCAACTTGTTTTTAATAGTATCAAATACCTAATATAGTGACCTTTAGTTAACATACTTATGTCTTTATATAACTGTCAAACTTCTTTAACAGCTGATAATGGTGTGCTTATATTTGAAGAATAAAAATCCATAACATCTTTATAACATATATGTATTATCTACCTACATACAAACATTAAATCACAGTAACAATCAATATATTGTCATGGAAAATTTACAAAAGTCCTGACTGATAAAGTGATGGTTCCTTCTTATAAGTTTTTCTATAGTTTCGTATAAGTAGAATTATTTATCGATAAAATATGTGTATATTCGTACAACAAGTCAAATAATTGGGTACAGACTATTTATGATACTCAAGCAGGTTACTGGTAACATCATATGCACTGATATAAATACAGTCATAAATACGATAGACTATTTTGTTGTGTTGTGTATTGTAATTTATATAGAAAAATCTGTATCATATTGTCTAAGTTTATTTGATAAGGCTGAAAGGTTTTGTATGGTAGTTCTAATTGTTTTTTTTATTATTAGAAACATTGATAAACTTCACTAACCGAGGCGAACAATTGAGAAATAATCGTAAAAGTTTCCAATAAATTAATTATATAGATTTGACGCAAAGTTTTCTATTAATTAATCAAAAATATATAGATTTGACGCTCTATTTTGCTTTCTTTCGTACGTTTAAGCAGCCTTACTTATGAACGTTGATTCATATTAAGACACTGTTAAGCAATTTATTAACAACAATCTTTACTTATAAATGCTCATTAAAATTAAAACGCATCGTCTTAGCAACGTCTTAATATCTGTCGAATTAAGTAGCGTTGCACCCTCAATAAGGTGTAAATTACCACAATGGCGGATCTTTGACAGCTGATCACTTAGCAACCGTACCTATTTTTTTTGTCGATAGTCAAACCGTCTGGATTTATTTCAATATGTAACATGTATTGGATTATACGGAGAAGGAATTTCTAAAATCGATCCAGTGATTACGTAGATTCCATTCTCAGGGACAAAAAAGAAGATAGGGCTCCATTAATTTAACAAACGTTACTAGAAGTAGGAATATCTATTGAAAGCTACTCATAATAATACAATAGGTATACGAATTAGTACACTATTATAAACTGTCACTGTCGAAAAAATTGCTGTTAACTGGAAATTCATTAGGTATTGTTAAATAACACTAGATCTTCAACGTAGGGGTCCAACTCCTGTCATGATTCTGGCATGTAACTGATTAAAAACAATTATATTATAAAAAACCTTTTTTTCATACCAGTCGGTAGCTCGCACCCTTTTTTATTTTTAGTGTGGGTGAAAAAACAAGTTCTATTTAGTCAGTTAGTTAGTATTTTATGTTTGCTTCAGTTTAACAAAAAATAACATAGATTATAGGCATTAAAGATGAGGGGTGGGAGCTAGCTACGTCACAACTGTGTAGAAAATGTACAAAGGTTTTGTTCAAATATTTAATAACTAACGAAAAAGATTACATTGACGTTTCTTTTTTTTTATTCCATATTTCATGATCATTACGCAGCCATTTGGTTTTTGGTGGGATTTTAATTCAGTGTGAGTAGAATGAAAAAAAAAAGTCTTATTTACCGTTGATTAGTTAACAAACTTTTAAGTAGAGTTTATAAGTAAGAAATATGTAATGACAACTTAAGAAGTTAAGTATATAGTTAATCAGATGCTAAAACGTTGATCAGTTGATTTTCATAAGTAAGGCTACTTGTCTCTATTGGTATCATTTAATTGTTTCATCAAATTGTCTAACCGTATTTGTAGTAAGCGGAACCCTAAAAATATGAGACAATTCCCAGTCATTTGAATAGGAAACCGCAGTTTTGTTATCAATTAGCGCATGTGGTTCGGTGCGCACGCCTTTTGCGCCCGGCTACTTTGAATTTTCGATATAAATATCGCGATCCAGTATGAGTTACTACATTCGAGCCGTAATATACGGCTTGACAAAAAAGTTTCTTAAAAAGTGTCTGTTTCAGTCAATTAAGTCTTGTGGTGAGTTATTTATTATATTTATTTATGTTATGTGCCTTTTTATTTGAATATTAAATGTCAGTGTAAAAAGTTCCACACATACTGGGTACCTGTTCGAATTCAACATCGAGCACAGCGACGTGACAGCAAAGAACTTCAATTCAATAAAATCTTTGTTAACTTCTGAAGTAGATTTTATTTGATTGAATTTCTATGCTATGACAGCGATGTGTTTGGTTTGATGCTATTCTCATTTGCTCCATGGTTTTTAACATCTCTTTGTCTTATAACAATAAAATTAGGCCTCATATGTTTACTCTTATTTTAAATAATAAAATACAAGTAAAATACTATATTTATACGTAAATGCTATTTAAGTGTTTTGAGAAATGATACTTAGTTACACCATGATTGCAGTTAAAGTGTCAAATTTGATATGACAATCAGCCAATTGTACAGATACCCATTAAAATTATCAATAGTTTAAAGCGACCTTACCCTTACAAATATGACATTAATTAGTGCTTAAAGGCGTCATTACACCCTAATGGACGTTGGTGTACTGTGGAATGCTTTGTACCATCGTCTTTCTTAGTATAGAAAACAATAATTTTGACCAGCGAAACATAGGCGGTTATAATTTACAGTTAAAGTATGACGTCATCCAACCATAGCCAGATGATAACTCATTATTATTTGCTTAACCGGTATTTTAACATGTTTCTTATTGTTAAAGTAAGTTGGTGCAATTAACTCTTAGTATTATATATAAATATACTGAGGCCATATGTGCTATGCTTGTAAAAATATTGTTTGATCGTGAGTAAAAAAATCTAAATACACTTATGTTTTGTGGTTTTCAGTTTACATACAAGATGGGTGACAAAAATAACTTGTTGCTGTTCTTCGACCGGCCCACGGAGCCATGCTTCATGCAAAAGGGTGAAGAGAAGGCAGTCTTTGAAGTACCTGATCATTATTACGTGAGTAGTCTAAAAAGTGGTCAAGGGATATTCTACGGTTGCTTGAGCTTCCGGTTTGATACGGATGTTTTTATTCTTCAAAAATAATTTAATCTGATTTGTTATTTTTTCGGCAACCTCAGAGTCGTTCGTTATCAGATTCTGTATAGATATTAAAATAAAAAAGTTTTAAAATAAATACATTATTTTTGAACGACTTGCTCTAAAAACTACTAAAAATCATTATATTGTAATTAGTATTATTATAATTTTGTATTTAGTAGTCCTCGAAAGTATAATTTTATTTCATTCAGTAAGAATATTCATTAAAGAACAAGTGGTAAGTAAAAGATCTTTAAATATTCATTGAATTAATTTTATATGTTTTGGAACTTGTTCCTTGGTCACTTGCATCATGGTTAGGGAATGCAATCTTTTTCTGGCGAGATCTCAGCCTTTTTTAGCGAAATTGATCTCGGTCCAATAATGGGCGAGATCTTGCGAGTTTAAAGAGATTTCACTCGAGCATGAAAACAATTTATTCTAAGTGTGGCAGCGCGAATTTATGTGAGTCCGGGGGTTAAAAGGCGAAGTTTTACAATTTAACAGTACTTGTGTTTTCGAAAGAGCCTTCTCAGTGACTTTTTCTGGTCAGCACAATAATAAGACGATTAGCAAACGATTCTATGGACATTTTGTGCTTCTTAAGAAGCTATTTTAAAAATTATTCGTTTGAATGACGTGTCAGGTGAACTGAATATAGATTTAAATTGATTGGCATATTTTGTTATTATTTCTCTAATTTCTATTAAATCTCTGGGTACAGATAATTTTCTTTCTTTGATAATAATCTCAGTTTAATAGTCAATTCAAGTTAGTTAATGAGTTTTATTTTAGTTTTTTTTATTTTTGTTAATTTATATTATTTTTTTAAACTTTTGTTTGATATAAGCAAAGAAGGCAGGTTTTTTTATTTCATTTCGTATTTGATTAGATATGTCAAAGTTGAGTTTCTTTAAATATTAGTACCTGGATGACTAAGCTTTACTTGGCACTTTTATAAAATAAAAATAAAAACTTAACTAAATCGATTTATCGCCTCTGAAAGCCTCTGCATACTTAATGTCATGAAAATTTTTGGGCCGTTTCTGAGATTATAATACAGGAATTATTCTTTTTAAGGTTTCAGATAAAAAAATATAATTGTGTACATAAAACTTTATTGAAAATACCCGTATATTAAAATATTACAGAAAACAGTAAACATACAAAAGTGCAAATCTAGAGAGATCTCGTAATCGTCGAGATCTCGCGGTATTGATATTAATAAATTCGCGAGATCTCGGCCGTCTCCCAATCTCACAAGATTGCATTTCCTAATTACGGAGCCTGCTAAAGATCTGAAACGTCTAATGACGAAAAAGTCTTAAACAGAAGGCTTAACCCCATTTACATGTTGTTATATTTAAAAAATAGGACAGTATATAATACAAAATTACTTATTGGAAAGCTTAGACTTTTTTTTGTAATGGCATAACTTAAAATTTATAGGAGAGATTTTTTCAGTAATAAGCTATATTTTATAAATAATTTAGTTTCACGAAATTCGCAGAGTCAGTAATAATATATAATATTATGTATTAACTCGGTTTTTATTTGTTCACCAGCCCGATAAATACAAGAGCCTGAGTTCAACCCTGTCGAATCGGTTCGGTAGTGATGCGTCACGTACCATACCTGTGCGGAATATTTCCCTGCCGAACTTGTCCCTGCCCATGCAGCTGCCTTACAATGACCAGTTCTCCCTGTTCGTTCCGCAGCACCGCAAGATGTCGGGAAAACTTATCGACATTTTTCTAAGTGAGTTTGTTATATTTTTATTTATCAGTCTAATGTCTCTACTTATAGGGAATACGAATAAAAGACATAAAGGCGAATGAGCAATAATAAATCAAGGGTGATTCTACGGAAACTTGAGAACTTCTGGTTTGATACATCTGTCATTATTGTTCTTCACCTCAAGTGAGTTGTGTTGGTTTCTTGATCTGGAGAAAAATTAATCATCACTTATTAAGATTCAGATTAAAATGACGTAGTACGAACTACCTGACCTGAGGTAGTAATTTTTTTGTTTGCCTAAAGATATTCCGCAATTGCGTTTGTAATTTCAGATATGCGTGACGTGGATGACCTCATGTCGATCTGCTCGTACTGTCAGATGCGCATCAACCCGTACATGTTCAATTATTGTTTGTCCGTCGCCCTGCTGCATAGGTACGTATTTAGACATACGTATTTACAATAAGTTTATTTTCAACGTTATATGTATAGTAATAATCTTATCCGATCTTACTTTATTACAAATACAATAACTTTTCGAAATTATCCAAAATTTTGGTTTTTGGAGAAACAAAGTTGGTATTTTATTTAGGTATCTCTACATTAGCTTATTAATTTAGATTAATGGACCATCAGAAGTACGAAAGTGATTGTAATACGACGATTGTGATTTCAAGTTTCGGTCACCCGTCTTATAATCGGCTTTTGTGAAAGTTGCCGGAAATCGTTGTACGAACGCAAACACTGCGTTACCAAATTGCTCGATCTACCTTAAAGTTACGTAAAGCTAAGGCTGTATTGTTTAAAATCTTTAACTTTTTGCCCAGGGAGGATACAAAGGGCTTGAACATTCCAACATTCGTGGAGTCATTCCCGGACAAGTTCATTGACCCGAAGGTGTTCCGACGTGCTAGGGAGGTCACTAACGTCGTCACTCCCGATCAAAGGGTTAGTATCTACAACTGATAGTTAAGGAAGGTACGAGTAATAAATACATCAATGGACCCCACGTTGGGCGCCAGTGTAACATTTCTCATGTCGAAATATTTGGGAGTCGAAATAAACCTGAATATTGTTCCTTATGCGTAGTTATTATTTATTGTAAGTGGCAATATTTATAAAAATATAATTTTCAAATCCTTTCACGTTTGTAATACTATCTTTGCAAAGATTGGACATCACGACAAACGTCTTTAAATTTTCCCTATATGAAAAGTATAAAATTACGTTTAAAAAAAACTAATAGTGAGTTTTAGAAGTCTTTTTTACCATACAAATGAATGTTTTGATGCAATCAGGAACTTTACACACATGGTGCATTTTTGTTTTCAATTTTAACTTACTGAACATTATTTTAAACGAATAATTTATAGCATCCGAAACGTCTGAAAATTAAAATAACTTTCTAAAAATTACATAAATAATCGTTATTTTTATTAAAGGAACACTGTGCGTTAAAATATAATAATAATAATTAGTTGTTTCGGACAACAATCAGTAATTCATATTTTATTAGTTTATACAAAATATACTTATAGTTATAAATCTAATTGTATAAAGGAAAGAAACCGAAAACACTATTCTTATCCCTAAAATAGAATTCTTAAATTACTATAAAATATTTTTTTATGTAAATTTTAATACTTTGAAATTAGTGAAACGAATCCATTGAACAATCGCGAATTTTCTGGACTTATTGACAGTTTACTATTTTTTTCGGGTTGGAATTCCTTCTTAAATTATTTTTCCTCTATCACTTATAAAGTTTTTGTTGTCTCAAATCAATTGAAAGTGCTTCAAAACTTGTATGATATGCTAACATTGATTTGTGTATTAATGATTACGTAGATGCCGGTGGTGATTCCACCGAGCCTGACGGCGTCGGACGGGGAGCCGGAACAGCGCGTGGCGTACTTCCGCGAGGACATCGGCATCAACCTGCATCACTGGCACTGGCATCTCGTCTACCCCTTCGAGGGAGACTTCGACGTCGTCAACAAGGACCGCCGCGGAGAGCTGTTCTACTACATGCACCAGCAGATTATCGCCAGGTATAATTATCATTATTTATATTGATTGGACGACCTCCGTAGCCGGTTCGTACGCCGGTTCGATTCCTAGTCGGGTTAGAGTAGAAAAAGACCATTTTTTATTGTCTCAGGTTGTTGAGTGTTGTAGTACCTTCGTTGTCTCAGAGACTCCATAATACGGGGGGTTTAGTTAGTTATCTTGGAATCTCAGCAATTTATTTATTTTATTACATAATTCATTATGGATTATAAATAATACTTTTTATGCAGGTCTGTTAAGTTGTCAAAATAAATTTTATTTCAATATCTATTTAATGCATATTTAGATATAACATGGAGCGGCTGTGCAACAACTTGGGTATCGTGACGAGATATAAGGACTTCCGCGCGCCCATCGCCGAAGGTTACTTCCCGAAACTGGATTCCAACGTCGCCAGTAGATCTTGGCCTCCCAGGTGAATATTAAAGTAACATTATACCGAATCTTACCAACGTTATTTATTTTATTTGTTTTTTTGGAAGACTAACAAATCCGCTCAAACAATGCTTTTAACTGGTAAAAACGAATCTGCGCTGCCACATGGTGTCTTTGTTATGTATTTTGAGTGGTACTACAAATACTAAGTGCAATATTTGTATAAATTTACACCGACATTGAGTTGCGCATTGGACGTTTCCTCTAATTAATCTGAGCATGTATGATGATACAGGTTCGCAGGTTCCACCATACGTGACCTGGACCGGCCCGTGGACCAGATCCGCGCGGACGTGTCCGAGCTGGAGACTTGGCGCGACCGCTTCCTGCAGGCCATCGAGAACAATGCCGTTATATTGGTAACACCATTAATATAATCATCAACCTAATTAATGTTCCCAGTGCTGGGGCACAATTTATCCCTTTAAAAAAGAATATTCATATAACAATGAATTCAATTAATGTCATTAAACATTATAAATAGTTTAAATTAAAATTTCAACATTATCTAATAATTCAATGTCACTATTTAAAAATTAAAGTGTATTAATAATTTTTCAATAAATAATTTAATTATTATGTAGAACCAATAATTGTATCTTCCGCAACTTATTAGTTGAATTAATATTTCTATCAAATAATGCACTCCAAAAATTTTTACAGAATCTATGAGCCGAATATGTTCACTGACTTATACTTCTCTTTCTTATACTCTTGAAGTGCTACAAATAACATTATCTTTGTTTTATACACATTGAATTCGGTATTTCTGTATAAATACTCGTATATCCACAATTGTATACATCATACTGTCGCTGGATTACTACTATATACTAACAGAGCTGTGTAAGTGGATGGTATTCAATTAGTTACAAAATCACATAAGTAATTATGGGATAAAATAAAGAATAAAGGTCACAATAGCGAGCGTTACAAATCTTTCATACGAGGACGCACATATTTCATTAAATAACTGGTTAATAAAAGGAAATGGTTATAACCGACCACATGGACCCAATGATCAAATATTAATTTATTCACGTTATTGTTTAGCCCAACAACACGTCGATGCCTCTGACGGAAGAGACGGGCATCGACGTACTCGGTAACCTGATGGAGTCGTCCATTATCAGCCGCAACCGCGGCTACTACGGCGACCTCCACAACATGGGACACGTATTCATATCGTACGCCCACGATCCTGACCACAGGCATTTGGTAATAATAAATATTTATTTTGAACAACAATATCAAAGTTTTCTGGCATCAAAAATTTCTTACATTTGTTATGTAGCGATGTGTGGACTTAATGCATAGTTGAAATTATTACAATTATCATGTTAGGGGGCGTCCATAAATTACGTGAGGTGATTTTTCAAATTTTCTGACCCTCCCTCCCCCCCTGGTGAGATGTCGTGAGATTTTATTCAATCCCCTCCCCCATCCCCAAATCTCACGTGAGATTTTTCAAAATGTGGGTTTCTTATTTAAACACGTTGGATTTTTTTAATAAAAAGAAAAAAAATTAATTCGCTTCGTACTTTTATTTACGACTAGTTAGAGACTAGTAATCGATATTGCTCTCATTCATCGAGTCACACGTTCAGCTGACTGTGGCGCGAAAACAAAGGACGGGTTACATTGTACCGTAAATTCAAATTAAATTGAGCTATTTGGTATAAAACGAGTACCTATAGTGGTTTGACAATCAGGAGTGATGTATTATGTCAAAGTACGAATTAAATTATTTTCTTTCCAACGAATTAGTGAATGATCTTAATCTTAGACTTGTCTCTCTATGAGGGATTCCCCGCACCGAGCCTTATTTTAAAAATTGCGTGATATTTGCCGAGACCCCCCCCACTCTCCAACGTGAGATTAGATGAGATTTGACTCGACTCCCTCCCCCCCTTAAACATCTCACGTAATTTATGGACGTCCCCTTACGCTTTGTCCGGCTTGAAATCTCCTAAAAAAAGTCCTATGAAACAATGAAAGCCATAATACATTCTCTTAATTGAAATAAAAATTATTTTCTAGACTGTGACTTTTTTTGGAATGACAAGAAAATTTTAATGTGTGCCTACAATTACGATATGAAAAATTTAACCCACAGTAAATGCTGTGCCGTAGATATAAATAAAATTGATAATGTATTATTTTTTTAGGAACTATTTGGCGTTATGGGTGATTCAGCTACAGCGATGCGCGATCCCGTGTTTTACCGTTGGCACGCGTACATCGACGACATCTTTAACTTGTACAAGTCTAAGCTGCCCCCGTATCCCGCCGCTACCGTTAGTATAGATTTCTATGCAACATCTATCGTTGTTTGAATTACATAGGTTCACTTTAGGTATCGAAATTAATTTTTTGCCTAAATTGAGAAATTATTGAAAAAAGTGGCAACACTTTTTCTTTTTGACAACAAAGCTCTGCATTTTGTAAATGAAAATAAACCGAAAACAAAATTAATATCACAACATTAAACATTATTGTCTTTTATAACATAATATATAAAAGACAATAATGTTTATTGATGAAAACAATAAAATCATCAAATCAAAGCATAACAAATACGAATCAAATATTTTCGATCAATTCAGTCAAAAGCAGACAAAGGTCTAATGTAATCTGCAGTCCGCATTAGAGTCTAGTTGAAGGCGTCCACTAAGTCATAAATTCTATAATTATTCTACCCAGTTGGATTTCCCCGGTATCCGAGTATCATCTGTTGGCATCGAAGGTCCCGGAGGAAACAATACGTTCACCACTCAGTGGGAACAGAGCACCGTGGAGCTGTCTCGAGGGCTGGACTTTACTCCCAGAGGCAGCGTGCTTGCCAGGTTCACGCATTTGCAACATGACGAGTTCCAATACGTGTAAGTTCATTTTTATAATTAACAGTTAGGTTAACTATTAGAAATCATATTACTTATTTTGAAGATGGCTTTATAATTGTACAGTTTATTATATAATTTTCACACTATAGGTAATTACTAGTCTCTGTTAGTTCCATCATCATGAGGTTTGTTATCCTTAGGGATCGCATCAGCGGCATATTATATTTTGTAATATGTCATTCAAACTTGCATAGTCAACCGACGAACTATCAGTCCGTCAAAAGTGCTAACAGATGTTACCGTTAATATGCTCGACGAATCATCCGTCAAGCCCTTACTCGATCCTAGTTCTATAGTAGTACAAAAAGTTTGCGGTGTGAGTAAGTATTGTATAGATGTTGAATACTTGATGATGTTGTCGACGTTAACAGTTTTGAGGTGAACAACATGAGTGGTCAATCAGTGATGGGCACGTTCCGTGTGTTCATGGCGCCGAAGGTGGACGAGCGCGGTCAGCCGCTATCCTTCGAGCAGCAGCGTCGACTCATGGTGGAGCTGGACAAGTTCTCGCAGCCACGTGAGTGTAGCTTACTTTGGGTAACAAGAGTTTTGCTATAAGTACCTGTAGATATATAATAAGGACAAATTTACTAAAAGACATACGATACAATTTAGGTGATACTGAGTAAATCGTTCACTAATCTATCGGTAGGAACCCACTTCGTATTGCGGTCTCACATATTATTCACTGGAATATCGCCTCACCTGCTTGCTCTACATAGCTAGACGCATACGTACTGTGCTTCGATTTTAATTCTAAACAGCTCGTGAGGACGTCTTCATCATCATCAGCGCTGTTATGCTGCACTGCACGGGCTAAGGCTTTCCTTATGGATGGTTAAGGAGGATAGGCTATAACCGTCCACGCTTGCCCAATGCGGATTGGAGAGTATAAACGACTACAAATGCAGCAGTGTCGAAGTCATTCCAATTAAAATGCACATATATATGTCAGTACATGTGGAACTCGAGCCCTTCTCGTTTTAACATCTGTTATAAAGACGATATTGATGTGTGCAGTGAACGCCGGTAACAACACAGTGCGTCGCCCATCGACCGAGTCGTCGGTGACCATCCCGTACGAGCGCACGTTCCGCGACCAGAGCGCGCGGCCCGGCCAGCAGGGCGACGCCGCCTCCGCTGAATTCGACTTCTGCGGCTGCGGGTGGCCGCACCACATGCTGCTGCCCAAGGGCACCACGCAGGGATACCCTGTCGTGCTCTACCTTATGGTCACCGACTGGAACCAGGACAGGGTCAGTGCTTATTAATTCAGTTCTCTGTTGCTCCGAGCTGCGACTTGAGATACACCAACGATCTCGGATATTGTGAACATTAGAATATTGCTTAAGTTAGAGTAGAGATGTTCGGATGTCGCTTTTAAAATATGTCATTTTCGACTGATGAATTAAATACGGATTTAGTTTCTAAGTTCGAAGTTGAAAAAGTTAAAGATTTTTCTTTTTTATAATAAGTCTAATTGAAAATTCTAATTAATTTACAAATGTTATATAAAACGAGATTTTTGTTTATTCTAGCAGTATATATTTAATTTTTATACAAGGAGATCTAGACTACGGTAACTTTTCTAAGTAGCGAGAATAGTACCTAATTCCAAATATTGTTGCTAATAAGCCCCATCCAACGCAAGTTGAATAATTAAAATCACTCAATGAACAAATGATCTATATCCGCCGTTCGTCGCTTCGCCAGTGATAATGAGTGAGAAATATTATTTCATAAATGACTATAAAAAAATTACTACCCATGTAAATGTATAAAATTAAAAATTCCGATTATAAATCAGGTACAACAAGACACAGTGGGTTCATGCAACGACGCGGCATCGTACTGCGGCATCAGGGACCGTAAGTACCCGGACCGGCGGCCCATGGGCTTCCCGTTCGACCGTACTGCGCCGGCCAACACCTTATCCGACTTCTTGCGTCCGAATATGGGCGTCCGAGACTGCAGCATCCGTTTCACCGACGCCACCAGGGTGCGCAGGCAGCGGTAGATTAAAGAGGCAGAGGGGATAACAGAATTCAGAATGTTACAAAATTGGGTTTAAATGGGAATCAAATTAAGAATTATTTATTTTGCCTTTGCAATGACGATAGTGAAAATCTCAAATAGTAAAAAGTTTTCAGATATACAGCTAATAACAAAAACATAAATGAAATAATACGTAACTAATTTAATTGATGAAATAAAAGAATAAAAAATGTTTTAACACATAAAAGATAGAATTTAACACTTCAATTTAAATTTTATATCAATTAGAATAAGCACATTTAATCAAATTCATGTAAATTATTATCTTCAACGAAGCAAAAATATCAAATTTAATTTAACACATATTTTGGCTTGCGGTATCTTATTTATAAGTACACACATAGATCTAGCAGTTTTAACTCTATGCTTAAACCGTGTAGTTGTTATAATTTATTGAGAAATTTTAAAATTTTCTTCAATAACATTTTGTTAAAGAATTGTTTTTTCCTAATTAAGGATATGTATTACCAAAAAGTCTAATATACCTGTATACTTTTACATAGAGAATATATTCTAAGACAAAGCATATGGCCAATGGGAAAATAAAAATATTGCAACTTTTTTGTTCATGAAATGTAAGTGTGAACCAAATTTTCTAGAACATAAAAATTAATATTTTGATCTCTAACACTATCAATATAATTTTCATTTTTGTCGTTAATTTAGCTATTTGAGGATTATCCCATAGTGTACCTTAATTTTTTTAATAGCACAGATAATAGAAGTAATAGTCGATATAAAGATTACTATTTTGTTAGTTAAAACAATAATAAGGTTACTTTGATTTGCTTTTGTTATCCCCTTTCTGTACGACCGCATCCTTTTCTCGTGTACACATAACATAACATCACGTTATTACATAATGTAAAATATCTGCAATATAATTGGTAGAACTTTAATTGATATTTTTGGATAATTTGATGCTATGTTGAATGTGCCCATTTTTTTGTGCCTTCATTTAGTTTTCAGTACATACAAAATTGCCTTGGAGTAATGAGCATATTTCTATAATGACTTATGGTTATTTGGAATTCAATTAATTATGATTTATATTAAGTTAAAAAGGGAAAAATACTCCTATTAGTATTATAATACTAATAGGAGTATTTTTCCCCAAAGGATTTTTCGTTATAAAAATAATTTAACATAAACTTAATAATAAACATTGAAAAATGCAGTGATTACTTTGATAACAGTCTATAATGTGTGAATAAAATTAAGAATAATTAATTCATATTTCTCATGTTAAAATATTTATTAAACACAAAACAAAAACATGGCTGCGTATACTGGTTTCCGAGTTGCAACCTACTTTACAAAGTAGGTGATGTATTTTAGTTATTTTAAGAAATGGGTCATTATGATAAGTTTTGTAAATATGTACATATATGAAAATACTTTATTATTCTTAAGACTGAATAAATTAGCCTTTCATCAATTTGGTGTTTTTCTTTTCTAGGATTTCAATAGTATAGTAGATGGTAGTTTATATGCAAATATACCTCGTGTGTTCATAAGTTTTGAGACGAAATAAAAGTTGCGTAACTTTTTTAATAATAAACTTATATTTCTAAAATTTTTAGTTACCATTATATTGATAAGAATCAACAATAAAATATATATTTTATTCAAAATGACCGCCCTTGTTTTTAATACAGGCACTTAGATGATTTGGCCAGTCATCAATGGCGGCACGAATATTTTCTAGCGGAATTTGCTTTGCCTCTCGAACAAGGGTTCGCTTTAGGGACTCCAAGTTTGGGTGGGACTTTCAGCAGGCCCCGAGTTCTAATTCAATCCATAAAGAATGATGCAGCAGTTTGAGGTCGTGGCTGTAGGAGGGCTACTCGTCCGCCACGATGAAGGCTGGCTCATTCTCCCTCAACCAAGCTTGGGTGCTTTTTGCCTTATGGGATGGCGTCGAGTCTTGCTGAAAAACCCAATCCTTATTGTGATATGATAGCGTATCAGACAGGGGTTTCACCATGGGCTCTTAAATTTCTCGCTGATATTTCATGGCTTTCCTTGACACCTTGTTAGCAGAATTGGAGCGGAGTGGCACCTTCATACGAAACTGCACACCGGCTAGTGTGATAACATTATCCGGATGATGAGTGCGCGAGACATTCCGTGCAGAAGTTGGGACATCCTTGCTACTTTTAGAGTACACTTTATTGTTTTGTCGGTTGAACTTTTCTTGGACAGTAATAGAGTATCTTCCTGGTATCATGTCTCCTCAGTAGCAATGGACAATGTTTGCGTCGTAGCTTACGAAGACGATCGTTTAAAAATTGTACTTTTCGACGGCTATAGGCCTTCAGATCATATTTCAGTATTCTGTTCACTGAAACATGAGAAATATTAATCTGCAGAGCGAGTTTCTTTTGAGTGGGACACGGATTTCGCGAAGTCGCTCTCGGATGATTTTGATGTTCGCAGGCATCCTCACAGAGCATGGCCGACCACTCCTTGGCGATCTAGCAGATAACTTGTCTCTTTGTACCGAACTTAGGGCTTACAGGAAAACTCTTTTTTTTTTTGTCTTAAATAGCGAAATTACAGTTGCACGTAATTGTTTCGTTGCGTCCATCACGAGAAAATATAAACAAATGAATTTGCGATACAAACAAACTAAAAGTTCACATTTCAAATTCAAAATCGGTAAAAAGATGAATAGCAGTCAGTAACATTATATTTTATTTATTCAGTTAAAAGTTTGTCAATTAAAGAAAACCGTCTGAGCAGGATTATGCAAATTACATAAATACATAGACAGACATTCCAACTAAAATATATTAATTGAAGTCGACCACTTTGAGAATCTCATAAAGGTTACACAGCAATTATTATTCCGTTTACGCTGACGAAGTTGCTAGCTGAGATATTAATATTTCTTATCCCCTTGTGGTGTAGTTAACGTAAATGTTACGAGTGGGCGTAAAAGGAATCAACTGCTTCAAACCACTAAAGAATCCCTATCAGATTATTTATTCGAATTTCAATTATTTATAGAAAATCTATTAAAGTAAAGTAAACCATGGATTGTTTTCAAAACGCTAATTGAGATGATAGCTCCGATTTCAGCTTAGGTATATATTTAATTAATTAATTGATTGTGGTTATTTTCCTGACATCGGGAAACTTAAAAATTTAAATCATTCCATCACACAAATCGTGTAGTACATCCGACCATGACCGGTGTGGGGCAGTAAAACATCCGACGCCAAAAAACTTAGTGTACCTATTCCGTATGTACTAATCACATCGACTATATAAGATTTTTGAAATATTTGTATTTTTGATGAAACATTGGTTACAGGGTCATTGGTTGCTTAGGGTCTTTAAGAAGCATCTCATTTAGGTTCGTTATTTCAACTTTGATTTACAATATAAATTAATAGAGATTTTATTTATGCTTTTACGTATTTCATCTTTATATGATAGCTCTTGTGAACTACTTTGTCTAATAAATCCCATAACTTTTAAATTTACTTAAACGTCCGTATTTGAGTCCCGCGGCCGGTTTCTGAAATGAGAAAAGTACAAAATCTCAACTGATTATTCTCAATAATTTAAGTTTTTTACGTATCACAAGTTAAATGGTCATAGTTTCATCAAACTGCTATAAACGGATCATTAAAAAACTAAATCAGACATGAACACCTAAACAGGTTTTCTTACTTAAACAAGTGACGTAGAACTCGTTTGAGACGTTCTTAACTTTTGAATTCTCATTTCATAAACCGAGTGTCAGACTTATAAAGTGTGTTCCAAATTTCAACAACTATTCAGTACCTTTGGAGCATAGGGTCTACATTGTTTGTCTATGAACGAAAAAAAAAAATTAAAATCAAATTTGTGAAGATTATCGGTGTATCAAGGTCCTCACCTCCGTTAGATTATAAATTATTGAGAAGTGGCTTTCTTAGGATATCAGTCATATCAGCGTTTCGAAGATAGACGTGTTTTCAAAAAAAAAGAAAAGACTTGCAGATCGCTGCTACAGATGAACTTACGGACAAACATTTGGTGATAATAATTTATTTTTAAATAACTTATTCAGGCTGTTTACATGATGTATACTGGTTACAAACGGCAGACTGCAGGCAAACCAAAGAAGCAATTTCGAAGGTAGACCTGCAACTAGCACGAAAGTTAAACAAATTACCTAGACGAACTTGAACAAACACAATCCTTAATTGTACCACCCCAAGTTTCTATACAGTATGTCAACAATGATTGGCATAAGGACAAGTAAACACTCGATAATAGTTTACTATCGGCGACGTGTCTCAAAGTTTTTTAAAATGTATATCAATTTTCGAATTCTAGCAGTTACATTTTGTATATGTGCGTTAAAATTGAGCCTGAAATCTAACGTGATACCAAGGAATGTAATATTTTTAGTATTTGATAATTCTGGGCAGTTAATGCCGGTCTGGTTCCGAGTTAAACAGTCGTGAGCTTTTATTTTCTGTTTGGCTTTCGTTTGTGTGGTGTTGAAAATATTATTCATATATTTAGTTTTGTCAGCATTTAAGGTAAGAATATTCTGGCACAGCTAGGAACACACCAGATTAAAGTCATTCTTTGCCTCGAGAAACAACCCTTTTCTGCGAAGCTGCAGAAAGTAGCAGAACAGTATCATCGGCATAAGATATCATTTTCCCATTAAATGATAATATATGCATATATTCCACCTAAGTTCATAGTAAGAACTCATAATACTAGTGGCCAGATTTTAAGCAATCTGTACAATATTTAAATTAAGCATCTTCGTCGATCTGTGAGAATTTTCGAAACACAAAAATATCTCTTTTTTTATGTTACGGTTAGTCAGAGTAATACATAATATAAGTTTTAGTGTAACTAGGATTTGCTGTAAATTGGTTGATGTTTGAAAAAATCCAACTGGGACTTACTACTCGTAAATTGCATTTGTGGTCGCTAGTTGAAGGGTAAAAATAAAACGTTCGCACCACCAGTGGAGTTCGTTAGAGAATATCTAGTTACAGGACTTCAGGGAAATCATGAGGACGACGTATCTACCATGATATCACACCACAGTCTATATACTTATTACAGTACTTAGCAAATAAGCAGCACCATACTTTATTGGCGTGAATTTCCATGCAAAAGCTTTTGCAACCCTTATAAAAATTCTGTTATTGCATATTTTTTAACTTTAGATTCTATATCTCATGTGTGTTTCAAATAAAAAATGTGGAATGAACTGAATAAAGCAAAAATATGATAACACTCCGGCATGAAGTAACT